GTTTCAAATTTTGACCATCTCAGTTATTCCTCAACCCACTGGACAAACGCGTTACGGCAGTACAGTTACGGTGACAAAGTTATTAGTTTGTTCCCGTTTTGCAACGATAAGGCAACATTAGATATGTAAGTAAGCTATGGGAAATATATAAATGATAAAAAAAAAAAGCTTCTAGCAATCAAGGGCCCAAGCTGCACTATGCTGGACGTTTCTGTTGTTACATTTTGTATACTAGTAGTAAGACCAATAGCGTAGCGAAAGCTACACTTCGGTGATGTCTTCTCTAAACAACGATCGATGAAGATTTTGTCGAACGAAATAACCTTCGAGCGACATCTGAATGGCTTGTGTAACCTTCTTTGATTCATTTTTGCGTATCCGGCAAATGAAGCCTCAGCCAGAATACTGGCACTTAAGGATCACGCTGAACTTACACTTCGTCCGAAACGCTAAATTTTCAATTTGGCAACAATATTCGTTAAGAAGGCGAGCAAACAACGTAAGAGAAAAACACGTCCACGCCGCCTGCAACAATGACAACGGTGTGCGTAATACGGTAATGTGGAGCAGATTCTTGAAGACGTCGTGCTAATCACCCGAAAAGCATACGCATAAAAGCCATATGCGAACCCCCTTTGTTTATGACCGGACTGGATACCCATGGCCGACGCTTAGATGTTATTCGAAGACTCCCGTTCGCTGTGTGCTGAAAAAAGTGCGGAATAAGCTCATCCCTAGCTGATCCCATGCATGTGAACATCTGTACGAGACCGGCAAACGAGGAAAGATGGTTAAGATCTACCAGACTACGGTGCTTTTGGTTGACCTAGCTATTCGAATGCGATGTTCGCCTGTATAATATATCATGACCCGAACGCGCGCGTTATTCAACCAGCCCTCTACATGCCCTTGTGGACAAGCCAGGAACAAGAGTCCTGCGATGCCAGCTCCGGTTTTTTGTACAGTGAAGAGAATTGCAGTCGGAATTGTGCTCAAAAATGGCTAGCATATCTGTATAAAGATGAAAGCAAACGTTTAACCTTGCTGTTTGTTTTGATAGAATAATTTTTCGACGACCGAAAGCTGGACTGAAATCTGAATAGTGCTGACTTGCCATGACGGGTCAACAGTCAGATACAAATGTAACAGTGAAAGACTTGCAGATAAGAACATGCGAGGAAAAGGGTGTGTCGAAAACGTAACAGTACTTCAACACAACTTGTTAAATAGTTGACATTCACATATGGTACTAGTAACGTAGTATTCTTATACACATTTCTTATCCTCGTACAAAAATTCTGAATAGCCATCTTCCAGTCCAAATCTAAGAAGCTCGGCTATCTTGTTTTCACACATATTTACATGTTCACGGAATGATATGATATTATGAAGTTTACGTCTGCATGGGGTCAAAAGGAGATTTAGAAGAACTCTCGTTGTCTCTTTACATCATTGCATTGAATATGATTTGCGCCTGGTCTACTTACATGTCTCTCGCTGGCTAAATGCATTTTTCGTAGAAACGTTAGGATTTCGCTTGAAAAAAATACAAGCTACGTAGAAAGTGTTGAGTACAGTCTTTTCTTTTTATAAAGTAACTAAGTCTTTGGTCGGAAGCTAACTTACGTCGCATCTCAATGGACGAAATAGTGCCCGAATATATCCATAGGTAAAAATAATACTGCTTATGCCCACCCTTGTACATACTTTTACCGGCCATAAATTTATTATTATTATTATTTTTATTATTTACTGAAAAAAAAATATGAACGAGGTCGATTTTCTCACGAACCTCCTCGTGTGAGGTATGTTTATTATTGAACACGCCTAGGGAACATATGTAGCATGGGCATCATCTAGATGTTAGGTTTTGAGCCTAGGTTTCATTTGTCTAGTCGTAGATGGTACAGTTTCTACCTGAATCAATATGCACCACCTCTTGTCTGCGCCCAATCCTCACAATGAGGCGTCGGCCCCACAAACACGTGCTGCCAAATTTAGCTGATAGCATCGAGTACTTCTCAAGTTTCACTGATGCCTTCTTGCATATATATTATATCTCGAATATCGTTGCTTACAGGGCTAATCCTAGGTTTAAGTAACCCTAGCGCACCTATATGGTTGTGACTTGACCTTGAGTTATGCTGAACGATCGTCGTGGTGTGAGCGAGCTTTTTTTGTTGAAATTTCCCATCCTTTTTTAAATGGTTTTACCATCGGCTGCGTCGAAAATGGCGTTTACGATATATGAGCAATTTTCTAACGCAAAATAACGTCACTGCAAACCGAATTGTTAGAATATTGTTTTTAGACGACCTTGGTGGGAGCGGTCTGTGTACAGGGTGATCAATAATCTGGAATACACTGCATTACCGTTCAGCTGTTTGTTCGACTACATTGTGTTATACTTCATATGTATAGATCAAAAAATAGGTCACCTGTCTTGTAAACATCAACCTATACTATAATATAACCTACGTACATATGCAATATAACCTACTCCTTCCGGAGCTTTTTAGTGGATAGCTACTTGATTAATATCACTAGGTAACGATAACTAACTTTTAAACTGTACGGCAGGATCTGGTAGGCATTTTCTTTATTTATTTTAGGACGTTTTTGGTCGATATGAACGATAATAAAGTTATTCAGAGCTATTAGAAAATATCAGGTTTAGAAGCAGTAATATCATTTGACGTTAAAAATTGCAAGTAAAATTGTTGGTCGCCAAGATGAAAGCGTTACTAAAACTCATCGTAAGTTATAGAAAGATTTGTAACAGCCATTCATTACTCGTACAGTGATCTCGGAAATGGAAAGCAAGACATTGGAGATTGAGAAAAGGTCCCTTAGGATACCTTAGGGTGTCAAGCGACACAACTAATTGCAGCAATTACGGAACATTTTGAGAAAAACAAAGTGTGGACAATGTGCTTTCTATCGGTTTAATGTGATATTGATATTGTTATATTATTTATAGATATATTATATTATGAAACTGAAGAAAGCTGAAGATGAGCAAAAAACAAGAGGCAACTTTGCTTTTTAGGAATCGAGTCCGAGATAGATAGAGACATGGACGGCGCGCACTACGGACAAACACTTTCGTATAGCTACTTCAAGCAAAAAAGCTGGCCTGGATTACAGCGTCATCAGGCGAGACACGAAGCAACCTATGCCGTCCACCAGAAAAAAATTCGGTGAGAGAATGGCCATGAGTGTCAAAGGAAGCCCGATGTTTTCTTTTCCTCATTCCCATAAAGTCTGCATGATTCTGATTGCTTCAAGGGACTAAAGATGGCATTAATGAACGTAGCATATCCTACCATCAATGCTCCCCTTCAAGCTATCGATCACGAGATTAAACATGGTAATACAAATGACAAAAATGCAGTTGCTAGAAAAATTTCAAAACGCTAAATGCAGTGTATACAAAAACAGAAAAGAGTAGATCTCACAGTACGCAGTGCCGTTGTTGTATTTTATGTAGGTTTGTGTTGGAACGATTTTTATCTACACAGACAGTATTGCACGTTGTTTTCATACTTGCTAATTTTTTACAAAATTTATTAGATTTTTATGAGGCTCCTAGGACCACCACCACTTTAGTAGAGACCCATTAAGAAAAAAATTACAAAAACAGTGCTTTTATCTTTTTTTCGGTAGCATTTTGTACTTTTACCGTATTTTTGTTAGCATTTTGTACCGTATATTAAATCTGCTTAATTAACAAATTAAGTAATTTATCATGTGCTATGTACCGTTATTCAAAATGTACATGCCACCATATAACTAAGTGTTTAAGTCTATCGTATATTCTGGAATGAGCTCTTTTTTTACATTCTTCTTTTTCTTTTTATTTAGTTATTTTCGATGAAGTATTATACAAGCGATTATTAATATTATCCAGCATGTCAAATAAAATACATTTTCGGCAACAGTGATTGCTAAATTATTCATTCCAACGGTTTTAACCAACTCCAGTTGTTTTCGATTGTGCAGAAATTCGGACTCGCTTTCCTCGACACGAAGAACTAAATAGCGTAATGTCGCACCTGTAATAAGCGAAGGTATGTATCTATGTCTCTTTTAGCTCAAAAACAGTCGCGAAGAAACATAACAAGGTAGACTTTTTTAGCCTCAAATAATTGAGTTTCATTAAATTGCCAAGCAAAAACTAAGTACCCATGATGATCTAGTAACGTGAAAATTTCGACCAATTAACGCGCACTCTTCGTATATCTGATTTACGGAGCGCACGAGTGAAGGGAGAAAGGAAGGTCTCTGGAGGAGGCTCACCAAGGCTTCCCGTTATTATCCTCTCTTAAACAGACCCCATCGTGGATTCGGTGTTAGGCAACAATGGCTAGGATTCCGTCTGAAATTGCCCTCCTCCAACGAGAAACCCTGCTACCAGGAGCCGGCCCTCACCCACAAGCAGATTCGGTCCAAAGCAGTCGTAACTCGTAGCGAATGCAACGCCTCTCTAAAAGCGACTTCAATATAGGTTCCATTTCGAGGCTCTGTTCAAGGTTCCATCCGGAACAGGACATCGCACAGTTCTGACTTTGACATTGACGGCGCATCATTATTAGCTTTTTCTCTGTAAGGAGGAGTCAGTACGGCTACCAAATGCAATAGACCGTGCGAACACCCTTGTTTTGAATCTCCATATCTGACGAGCCCATTGTACCACATTCGCTTCGAACAAAAAAGCTTTTTCAGTTCGATAGTGAATAGCGTGTGTTCGCCGTCAATAATGAGTAGAAAAAACGTGAGCAAGTAATAGTGCACTAGTTACCTTAGATAACGTCAGGGTTGTTTGTCGAATGCGATCAGTTGATACGTTAAATATTGCGTTGGCAACATTAAAGAATGACACACGAAATAACTTACTTGTTGTTATTAATAAAACTTATAGAAATATTAAAATTTCTGCGAATCGTGTAGTATCAAGTGCATTCGACGATTATCAGCTGTGTTCAACAGGCGTGCAGATATTTAATTAATAGTATTAGCATTATGGGCAGCAGTGGTACATTCAAATATATGTGTGATATGGATAAAAAATCAGTGCTCATTTCGAACTTCGAAAAGCGAGGATGGGTCCAAGCAGATCCGGACAATCCCGACGATTGGCAGTTTTACTGGGCATCGGTACCAACTGTTCGAGATCTATTCTCACTTGACAACAAAACGCGTCGACTTCAGCCGAATCAGATGGTGAACCATTTTCCTACGTTCTATGAACTCACTCGAAAGGTTGGTCTGTATGTGACTTCTAGAAGAATATTGTTTTAATTTAAATTCTCGCAGCACCACTGCATCCTTCAATAGATCACGCGGGAAAGACCAATTTTAAATATCTTATGTAAAGGTAGCATTGACATTTTATATTTCACTAGAGTGAGGTTTATATTAAAAAATCAAATCATTTGAAAATATTGCTGAGGACATGCTCGAGTAGCTCCTGAGTACCAGACATTTCAAGCTTGGTAATATTAACACTTGACAACGATGTGCCCTTTAATCAGGGCATGCTAGATCAAGTACGCAGAACAATCTATTCAAAAAACGAACATGAACAAGAAAAGTCGACTGGCTGTGCAAGCTGATGATAGATAACTAACAATATCGTACATTTAGATTGTTGTTCTATGTGTTACACAGTGGATCAGCTATAATAGGGGGCGCTGTGTAGCGTTCGATTACCATAGCTGACAGAGAATAGAGCAGACGATTTCGCGCGATTATTACCTTAAAGATATTGAGCCTTTCGAATTGCATTTTAAAATGTCGTCACGATTTTGCGGTCCAAGCTAGTGCACTGATGTTCATCAAATGTTTTATTGGTGAATAAAGCTCTGTGTAATGCTCCCAGGTGATTGTAATCGTGCAGCGCTTGTATAGCTTTCGATTTAGTTATAACAAGGAATTCGTATACCACTGTTCATAGTTACCGCCAAGAATTGTTATTGAAAACAAGCGCGATATATTCTATGTGAGCATAATTTCAGGATTTGATGATGAGGAATTTGAAACGGTACAAAAGGGACGTTGAAAAGGAGCTGGGAACGAAACTGGTAGACTTCATTCCTACGACGTTCATTTTGCCTTCAGACTACAACCTTTTCGTGGAAGAATTCCGCAAAAATCCGCAGGTACGTAATTTTAGTTTCCAATCATCAGAAAACGTTGCCAGACTCCCATAAGTTTCGGCATGCAAGAGTGATGCTGGAAGGAGCGAATCATTTGGACATCGCACAGGAATTTTGGCCACGATACAATCACAAATTCTTGCCTTTTGACTATTCCTCAAACGTTATAGTAATAGAATTGCAGCTTAGTGTCTACCACTCCCTTTGGCCGTTTGCCATTTTGTAGTCTACGTGGATCGTGAAGCCGACAGGAAAGAGCCAAGGGAACGGCATTTTCATCATCAAACGTCTGGCCCAACTGAAAAAGTGGCACAAGGAACTAACTATCGAACACGCGACAGGCGGTAATAAAGAGCTCTTCGTCATATCCAGGTAGCGTCTGATAATGGACTATAACAAATCTGGCCCAATTTATTCTGTTTTCCTAATACAAGTTCTTCAAATCCGTTTATAACACTTATGAATCAGGATAAACCGCTACGGTAAGCTCGATCATGAGACTCGTTCCAGACAATTTGCGCCACTAAAAAGTTACGGAAATTACCCTGTTACGATATCTGAGAAATACAAATCAGCTTGAATTTTATTTGAGTATCCCCACTTTGGGAAAGAAAGAAAGAAGCCATTTTCTCACATCGTGGAATGAATTCATATAAATCAGGGGTAATTGCAGTTGGAGTTATATTTCGAAGAAATATTGCAAGACCACTCCTTTCTGATCTGCTTCCACCCTGCTATTGCAAGCATGCACATATTTGTATAATAAGCAGAAGCATTTAGTCCACAATAAAATGTCCTAAGGGAATATAAAGATCCTCAGCATAGAAATAAATTTTACATAAATTCAATTCGGTTCAAATGATTATTCATTTAAGAGTAAAAAGCTACAAAAGATAAATAGAAATAATAGATACAAAAGGGAACAGAGCTTTTTTTCTATTTCGTGAAACATACCAAATCTGAAAAGATAGATAAACGATCTTCGCTTGGTTGCTTGCTGGTTATAGGGGCTTCTATTAGACGCCTAGATTGTCCTAATAATCTTTCTTCAATATTGCAAAATTAGGCTTCGAGAATGTAGCTAAATTTACGTACTTGCTGTAATGAGCGTATTAACAGCATCTTTGTTTCAGGTATATTGACAATCCCCTGTTGATTGGAGGGCGAAAATTTGATCTGCGACTCTATGTTTTGGTCACGTCGTTTCTACCTTTACGTGCCTTTCTTTACGATGAAGGATTTTGTCGATTTTGCCAAACAAAATATTCAACGGATGCCCAAGAGCTCGGTATGATTGGCCTTCCATAAAAACTATGTTTTTAAAAAAAGAGGTGTGTTTATTTTCTTTGTAAGTGAAAGCTATTGTTGTACGTGACACATGAACGTTGATAAGTATCCTTGCTGACTGCTAGTCTTCCAAAATCGTCATTTCTCATTATCAGCAAAAAGTAGTTAAGTCTTCAGATCCACTTCTATGGAGATCTGCTGAGAAAAATAAAAATATCCTCACTTTTATTTAATAACCTTGAACGTTCTTTAACTTTAACAATGTCACAATTAACAGACTGATTAATCGAGCATTTCACAATACGATAACCGTTTAAAAGAAAATAGAGAAGTTGTAGAAGTATAGAAGGAATTGTAATTGTCTCGATACTTTTTCTAGGCAATATGTTAGTGCATCTAACAAATGTGTCGATACAAAAACAAGGCGAGGAGTACAACGCCTACCATGGGGGAAAATGGTCATTGAAATCTCTACGCCTGTATCTGGAGGGCATGCGCGGAAAAGCAGTCACTGATGAACTCTTTGACAACATCAAGAGCCTAATTGTACACTCGCTCAAGGTTGTATTTTCATTTATTTAAATGCTGGTATTAATAATTAGTAGTGAATTCGTTTATACCGTACTGAAGCCAACTAAGACTCTTTCGGTAATGACGGCAAATTTAGGTGACTGTATTAACTTCAATGGCATACAGGTTTCGCCTGCATGCCATTGAAGTAATTCGCCCGTAGTAACAACCGTTAATCTTAACACCCTTTAGCTTTTACTTTGATAGGGTTGTCCGCGCTCTACTTGTAAAAAAGTACTAAATGTTTCCTAATTGGTATACTAGTTGTTCACTGCATGTGCAATATTTACTGATAGTCTATTTCTCTAGGCCGTATCATCCGTAATGAACTCTGATCGACACTGTTTTGAGTGCTACGGATATGACATCATCATAAATGAAGAACTTCGGCCGTGGCTAATTGAGGTAAGGTCACATTATACGAATGCATTTTTACTAAATTATTTGTATTTTCTCTCGATATACACGCGAGAGATTATGTTTGCATAGGACATAACGGAAGAACAATACACTTAAGAGCCTACCCATCGTTGATGCTCGCACTATTAGTTGGCCGTATTTACGGGCTACAGTCGGCAAGTGGCAGGGCTATAGGCTATGAACTTGCAGCATTGAACTCTACAAGAAACAAGTAGAACCCTTTGAGTGTCTTCAAACTGGCTGGATCAGGCTATGAATTGCTGGTCAGGTTATTGAAGCAGAACTAATAGTTTCAGATCATAGTTTTCTTTTCTGGCATGCCCCTATGTAAAGTTATCTGTTTAATATCTTCTGAACACGACACAGGTAAATGCATCACCCTCACTTTCTACAACGACCACAAAGGATAAGGAATTAAAGGAGAACCTAATCGCCGATCTACTCGAGCTTCTCAATCCAGAAGGATCTGACGTGCGCAACTCTTATACTTCACTGGCCGACCTTCGTATGGGCAATTTTAGTCTCATATACGACGAAGTCAGTGATTCATCGAGAACGCCCTCTGGGGGACGAAAAAAGATACAAAACAAATAGAGAGGTATAGTTTTAATGCGCATGCATCGTACCACAGATATGCAAGGACAAAATAATGAAAGCCAAATGGGCCTTATAGGGACCAAATTTCAGCGCATGTATTGAAGATGGTTATACATCTAACGATGGTCTCGACCTAATATCATTATGTAAAACAAATGGTTTCAAATCATGACAAAACATTACTCTCGCAAAGTACTTCACACAAGTCTGTCTCAAATCCTGAATTTGTATGCAGAACGCCACCAAAAAAATACTAGCACAGCTTTTCTATACCGTAGTCCAGCTACCACCCTCCATAAGTGCATACGTGATATCGACCGCTCCGTTGTAGACATGAGATAATATTAAGGTCCATATTCTGTTTGCATTCCGTTTTTCTTCCATCACATATCTGTACATAAACGTAGACTAGAATTCAGTGTAAGTTAGAGAATAACTATCTGGGGTCATTCAGGCCTACCAGTCTTCCCGTAGGAGATTATCGAGAAAAAAAGATAATTATTTCTTGCCGATCGCCGTCCTCTAACTAACTCCTTTACGATAGCGTACTATACACGTGTAGTGTAAATATATTAAAAGATGCATAAGATGCATTTGTACGTCTAGACGAGGTACATCGTATATGGTTCGAAATAAAGCTGTACTCCATTATTTTATGTTCTGGTATTCCATTTGAGAGCACAAGTTAACGCTAAGAAAAAATACTGAAAACTAGATATCGTATATTTCATCGAAAACATGTTTATGCCAAGTAGATGCATTAAATTATAATGTATTATTATTTGGGCACTTCAACTGTGTTTTTTAGAAATACATTTACGATATTTATCAGCAGTGTTTATATTAACCAGGCGACACCTAAGCAGTAACCGAGCCGCCTGGCTCAGAAATTTGTATGGCACACACAAAACTATGTAGCAAATAAACGACACCTATCCCCGAGCATTTTAATCAGCCGTTAAGATTACATATATATATAAAGCGTTCACACAAATACCTAAACCATTAGATAAGCGTTACACATAAACATACGAATCGCATTTACAGCTTTTATAATGGTCCGAAATATTTTCAGCAAATTCTTACTTTATTTCCGAAAGTAACTAATTCCTTTGTGCCAGCTAAGCGTAATTCCTTTACAACTAAAACGCTTCCTCTTGACTAGCCCCAGACACGTACAGATATGTTCAAAAAACAAAACAAGCCCTAACATCATAGATAGGCAAACGGATATATTCAAAAATAATTTGATCTAAAACCCCCATATTATAGCACCGATGAGGAGATAACAGTGGTATGAGCACTGATTGCACCGGTATCAACTAGCGGCAAATGATGCAGACGCAGTCGCAACTTGAACATACCAGGCATAATCGTACCGCAGCAGCGACAGAGAATGATGTAATAAAATAAAGAAAGTAGCGAAATGTTATCTTTTCAGGCCACAAATACTTTTAATCCAAATGAAAGCCTTAATGAAATAACTATTAGTATTACAAAAAACATCTAATTTTTGCCGATTTTTGCATTCGGTCTTGTGGTACCACGCTGTTGTTCTATCCACAGGCCAAATCTCAAAACGCTCTTAATTTTCCACTGTACATGAGTCACCAGACTATGCTGAAACGGTTTAATGAGTCAAACATTACAACAAATCCGTAAAAGAACCAAAGTGGAATTGCGCTCCGAGGTAGAGCTAGCGAAACACTTTAAAAATTGCAAGAAGCGGCAGTACATATGTACATTGAAATTGGCAGAAACCATTCCTAAGAGGACAAGTAAGATTTGGACGATCGCCGTACAATCCAGCTTATATCTAGTAATACACTTTATCTTCTAGGTAGATAAATAGTCAAATACTATCAATCCTCAATTAACTAACACTCAATTTTATTTGATCTATTGACCAATTACTTCAATCAACGAATATATCATATAACAGCCCGGGTTGATGAATTATTTCTCACCTATTATGATGATTATTATTATAGGGTTACATAGTTTCCATACACAGTTCCGTACGGTACAATATTTACAATTGATTTACATGGGTTATCGGTCAGATACATTTGTTAGGTGATCTCGCATTCACGAATGTTTCCTGAATTTTATTAACATCTGATATGGCGATTTATTTTACTTTTTTTTTATTAGGCTGTAGTAAAAATATTCAATTATTACAGTATGAGCCGCGTTCAAGCTTAGCTGTGAGTCTTTAAAAAATACAGCTAGTTCCTCGTTTTAGTTTAGAAATATGTGTGGGAAAATGGCTCTAGCTAGGTTTGGTGACGGAACGAACAAAATTTATCAATTAAAGCAAATTGAATCTAAACTAATATAGTACAAGTACCTGAAATTATCTAGACCTTACGTGCATAAATACATTAATATACAGAATTGATGTATCTTAATAATATACAAATGTATCAGAATAATCATATTCAAAATAAATCTCTGCAAATTAGTATAATCAGTCATGTCTGTACGACTCGATTCTTATTTGTCATTCCCGTATATACAACCACACAACTCAGTCATGCATTTCGGTGACGGCTAAGGCAGTGGCAAACCCGGTACCATTGCCGGTAGGCATTAATTCATACGGCTGGCTCCAGCATGAAACGAGGTGTGTCTACGCTCGGACTGAAACCGAGACCATCGTACGTCCATAAGTTTTGCAGGCAAACACGTTACCGACTACGAGATGATGTCTGGAATTATAAGCTCGTTCGACACAAATCACTGGGTCGAAACTGGACATCCGCGTAAAAGATGTTCGCGATTACAAGCTCCGACTGATACATAAATAGAAATGGAAAACTGCTATCAATAATACCGGAGGGAAATGTAAAGGCTGCGCGACTACGAGCCCGAGCGCGCGCATGCGATGGCGTCCTGTAGCAGTGTCAAAGAAAGCCCGAAGCCGGAAAGACAATGTAGGTCGAGGGCCGGTTAGAAGAAAAGATTTTAACTCAGTAATACGTTACGTGTGTATTTCATTACTACCAGCTACGTATGTCTTTACATTATTATGGTGGGTTCAATTAGACATCTTAACGAAAAACACATATATGGAAAAAGTACTATGACGTCACTGTGATTGTTTACTAAACGCGAGAAAACAGACGCCCTATACCTGGGCAGGCGTAGCAGAATAAATGCCCATGCGCCTTTGTTCTTCCAGCGGAAGGAATCAATCAAACGAAATGAGTGTATAATCTTAAATCATTATACTTCATTATAATCAGTAAACTTCGCTAAGATCAGTAAAACGAGGGAGCCCATTTGGGGCGCAACACACCTACGAATTTGTAGCAAAGTTTTCCACACGAACGCGTTGCTTACTAAGATTAGTACGTCAAAAATTTAATCCACTTGATACAATGCTACAACTAAAAATAAGTGTTGACTTAATTGTTTTCTACCATAGAACTTTACCTTCTTAGTTTAGAATAAAAATTAATCCATAGTTCTTTCTCATAAAATATGACTTTCAGGACTAGACAAAAATGATGAATAGTAATAGTAAATGATTTCTTCGTATTAAATGACGTGATGTCAGAAACCCTGCCACACGACCGTTCCGTTGTATATATATATATATATATTTTTTTTTTTTTTATAGTAATACTAACAATCAGATATCCTTAACAGTCGAATTCGTCACATTTTAAGGGAAGGTAAAGTGCCTACGAGCTATACAAACAAAATAATTTTGAGTATAATGTTAGGTTGTCCGGACCTATTTAGCATATGAAGTATATTGAATAACTTTTTTTAACAGGCAGACGAAATTTGGCAAATATGCTTTCCAAATTTTTCGCTATCTACGACTTGTATAATGACTTTAGAAACCGCGGTTTGTTTTCGTCTAAAAAGCTTGTGATTAGAGCAACTCGTTTTTCCTTTTAATGTTTTTTTAATGTAATCATCTGTTCTGTGGCCCTCAACCTCATGATTTTCATTCCCGTCATAATCGCACTAATACAGAATTGCCGTTACACTAAAAATTTCCTTGTTCAGTGTTTTCACTAAGATTTGAGGAATTCCACTAGCGTTCTCAGTTTCGAGAAACAGAAGCTTGGTCACTAAGCGTTGACTCTTACCGTTCGACGTTATCCTTGCCTCTAAGGTCGTTATTCTTTAATGAAACTCAATCGAAATCGTAGGTGCTCGTAGGAAACTCAGTTGTAGGTACCCAAATACGTGAGTCGATACTTCCTAAATTTTGCCTACCAGCGGAGCACCATTTATGCTGTTTAAGTTTGTCGGTAAGTACACCCTAAATAATTTCGGGTAGCCTGCAACAAGGCCACAGACAGGTCCTTCGCACTTTTCATTTTTAAGTCACTGAGTACGTTTTCAAAGAAATCTAAAGCAAAGAGCGTACATGTGTATACCTAGCCATTGCTAAAGATGAACACTTTCCAGGGCTTTAAAGGTGACTAGACAAAATTGTTAGATGACATATGTGGTAAACAAACATGCCTCGTAAAATAATTTTATCGAAAAGCTCATTTACCTCAAAAAATCTAAGCAACTTATATGTCAGCGAGTACTGTCCAGTAGTTTGAAATCAAGCTTGAATACGTACTCGAATAAGAATTCCTTGCTACAATTTTGTTCAGTGTGGTCCTATTTCTTCTAGACGTATTTAAAACATTTCTGTTTATCATGTGGTACTCGCGTCTTGAACAAGACCGAGTCAGCCCGTAATTGTGTATACAGCAGTGGATTATAACCGTAGATTTGTGAGAATTTATTTATACAGTCGTGTCGTTCGAGGAAATGCGAGTCATGTTCTGAAAGAGCTACTGGACATCCTGGACAGCGGAAGGTCCACTTTGAAGTCACCTGAAAATTTAATCATATAAAATAATGCATTTCGATTTAATAACATTTCTCCGTCTGCTGCTTTTGCTAAAATGCTCTGAACGTAACACGACTTTTCGCGGACTTTTTACCCTTCTATGTTAACATTTATGCACAAATTACGTATGTATGATAAATTTGGGCGATCGTAGTAAGGCCAATTCCATATTTCGGTGTAGACATTGATCGCGGCCTAGCCCTGAAAGTAGTTTCATCGAGCCACGCGAATCCGACCAGTTTGGAATAACAACCAAACGAAGTGGAGTATAGCAAAGAAGTGTGCTGACCTTGCTCATAATGGGTCATTTGATGGTTTACTTAGATTGTTTTTCACTCCTTTAACTAGCCAATAAATGTACATTACCTTGAGAGGCGGTTTTCTTGTCAGATGAGATACCAGGAAGTTGAGCGCAATATCTTCGCAGTTCATGAGCCGATCAACAATCTGTCGAATCTCGGGTTGCATGTAATTTGTATACGCGTAGAGATAGAACTTATGCACGAACGCTGCCCCAGTAAGAACCATCGATAATTCGCAACTATGGTTGGAATTGTAGTTCCAGCTCCTACGAACAAAAAATGTTGTTTACGTAACGTTTTTCGTAGCAACTACTTTAAACTGATATTTTGGTTTTGTTTAAGATAAACATCTCTGAAAGCGCGTGAAAAAATGTATTCCAGTAGGAATTGTTTGAACCCTAGCTAAATAAAATCAACAATATATCCAAATCAATAATGTTATCCAGGGCGGTGAAACAACGTCTCTTTTAAATTAATTATATGTGGTTAATGCGTCATATGCAAGCGTCCATTGGGGCTTATTTTAGACTGGAAAAACGTTATCGCATTATGTACTTGTGGATTGAATCGAACGCGTGGAAGCGACCGGGAAATCCTACGATTCGATCCCGGTTCTCGCGCCACACCCGGAACGCAAATACCAGTTCGTCATGTCGGAGACGTCCGTCATCATCAAGACACAGCACAGCTTCCGTTTCGATGACGTCCCACGGTACAAAACGATTGTTCAATGAGTTTATCGGCGCTTTAATCACCTATACACAAAGAAATAGCAACAGAGCAATAATAATAAACAACGGACTGAACCGCATGCTAAGCCACGCAATGGAAGTGCCTTCTGATATTTGCCAAGCGTGTTTTCGAGTAATGCAATTATGTGGACAGTCTAAATTTTATATTCGGTGCTGGTGTTCAGCATTGTCGGGCCTATTGCGCATTACGATAAGTGTTGTGGTCTGGTATATGATGTACACGGTAGCTCACTTCGTGAGTTATATTTTGCTGTCGACAAGCTTCAACTCGTTGAATATTTATATTTTCACTCTGTCAATCGGATTGAGTCGGAACGATTCGTGAATGTTCTCTCTGCGGAACTGCATCAACTACATCAAAAAAAGAGGCAATGAGAAGCCAACTGTTGCATCACTTCCCGCTTCCAATAGGTATATCTCGTACGACTTTAAATATATTCACATGTGTCAAATAGAACGTTAAAAGCTCAGCTTTTTCAACGTTAATCCACTCTACAATCTAATGCAGCAGTAAAAATGTTCCCAATAATCGTGTAGTGCCTGTTCTTCTGTTTTATTTCTATGTGAGCCGCAAAGAAGAAAAATCGGATCCTGGTTCAACGTTTAGCCGGTTAACGTGCCAATTTATTAAACTAAAAAACTGGAAACCCAACGTGTACACACTTGGATTCGTGCCCCCAAATGAGTCATTTGATATAATACTTAACAGCAATGTTATAAGGATAATTTATTTCATTTAACTGTTTTATCCGCCTCTGAGCAAAGCACCATTTGTTGTAGGATATGCATATTGCACGAGGCAATTCCGCGCAGTGGCACGTTCAAGATTAACTACGGGAAGCCATCACTTCCTTTCAATCTATGGAAGCATTTCGAAAAGATCCTAGCTTTTCTCATATTGCGGAACACGACACACTTTTTGTGGATAAACGCATAAAATAATTATTGCAGTTCAATGAGTGCCAGTATTTTCTTTTTCTTTTATGTTCAAGGAAAACACTTCTATGCTAAGAATCAAAGGGGGTTTCTATTATGAAATAAAATAAAATTAATGTTAAAAAAATTACCTCGGTTTAAGCGCAGAAATTTTTTGTGACATTGTGTTTTCTTAGTATACCACAGCTCTTTCTAACTCTAGCACAGAAAAAAAAAACTGTGGATAAGGCATCAACAGTTACGTAAGCTTTTCAGTAACCCAGGAGTATCAAACAAACTTTCCAAACCCGTTAACATATACTACAGTTTCACGCCAGCTAGAAATATCATTCTGAATACGACAACTACTGAAAATCTAGCTTCACTTCTGTGGCGTTTTTACCTTGCTAATAAACAACACAATGCATTTCGGAAAACTGTACAGTCATAATGAATGTATGTCCAAAATATGTTCGTAGTATAGAATATATTTGAAACAAGCAAAGGAAAAAGATCTCTCAATGTTTAATTTTTCCGTTCCTCTACACGATTCGACAGTTTCTTTCTGCGGTACATCAACTCTGACTAAGCCTTAAGCTTTTCGCTATATAGACATGAACTAGTTAGGATGGAATAACAGGGCACTATCGTTATCGATTGACGACATTGTACGGATATAATAGTGTGGTTCTTTTTTTTACAATTTAACTGCCTCAAAATGACCTTTTATATTTTCCGATATATTCGGGCTAATCATGAACATCTAGGAATCTATCAATAGGAGAGGCAAGTAAGCCAAAGGAATAGGCCATATTTATACCCCATATACACACAGGATGGTATTTGAAATCGAAAACAAATTTGATATTAACATATGCACATACGACGTACTTTGGTATATCGGTAAATGTATGCATTGTAATATAAATATTTTTGTTTAAATAAATGCAAAAACACTTTTTATTTCTACGGAAACTGTTTCGTTGGTATTCTTCGTTGGTGGTAAAGAAATTTAGTTTTTCTTTAAAGCAGACCTTACGAAGCGACTACTGAATTAGTAAAGTGAATATGCAACATGCCTATACGCAAACCAAAAGGCATACGTCCCAAGATACGAGTGGTACATTAGTTTCCTATAGCGGCAATAATATAGGCTTTCGATTATTATCTTACCTTTCTTCTCTACCTTTAAATTTTTTTATCACGAACTAACTTATACAATTATTAGTGCCGTTCTTTGTCGTTGATTATGTTAGTACATTAGTCTAAATATGAAGCCAAGAGTCATACATTTTCCATGATTACTTCAAACAGTCCGTGTCTTGATTTGTATGGCTGAAAAACTAATTTTTGAATTTTTTGAGAAAAGAGAATACTGTCAATACCTAGTACACCGTCGAGATATTATATAATGGACTCTTCTTTCGGTGTAGGTGTCATGTTTATGCGGTCAGAGACATATCAAAAGATTTATGCGTACATGCAAGGACTAAAAGAGGATTGGTTTGAGTAACCCATGTGCACTTCCCCGCAGGCAAAGCAGGCTCATTCCATGTACTGAGTGCGATAATTTAGCCCAAATACTGAATAAACCAATTTATCCACAAATAAGCGAAACAGACATAACTGAGTGTATACAGTTTTAAAAAATGTTTTCTTTCAAGATACGCGGCCTAATAAACGCACTACTAAAAAGTACTAAAAGGAAAAGAAAACTCTAGATGTGCCAAAGTAAATGAAACCTTTATATCGGTCAACAAAATACTCGGTTTGTAATGACAATGACCACCGTTGGTTCTAAGAAACATCCTTTCATAGCTCGCTGACAACTACACTGGCTATATAATGTCATTGAAACATCGACATGAGGATGGTAGGTGAATTCAGCATTCACTTCCGTAACGCAACTTTTTTTTTACTTCTATTATACACAGCTTGCACAGTACCGTAAACCAACAACAATGCTCCAAGTGTGCCAAAGGGAACAAAATAAGAAGTTTACACAGTAAGGCTCAATCAGCCCGATAAGTGGATTCGAATACTCAAATGTATCTGAAACAGCCAGGCTAGGTGATATTACTGAATAGGCAACTACTTACCTGGATGGGCACTCCGATATCCGGCCACGTTAGTGTTTCCGGCCCAGGAGTTTGTGGTCCGTTCCATACAACGACAACCTAAAAATCCGTTAAATAAAATGGGTCTTATCCTGATGACTCTCTTGAGCAGACTTGAGGCTACCATTTTGCAGTCTTTCGAAGCAATAATTATTCTTTGCTAATAAAGAATCTTGAAAAACTTTTTTTCCCTGAGTATATAATATGATATAGTACATACCTTGTTAAGATAAGGTAATCCTTTAAGAGAGGAGATTCCTTCGAGAAGTACCTGCTGTCTCTCATAAGTGAGTATCACAGCCGTAAACTGCTCCCGGGGCCAATTGCCTCCCAGAGCCTCAGAGAATTCCTTCCCCGAACCGCCTGCGCCAAATCTGTGCAACAAATGGGATTGCGATCATTATTATAGAGTCCAATTCATTGTTTAATTAGTTTCAATCAGCCACGGAAAACTGATAAATCCGTAGGTTTTTTAATTCGCAGTTCCTTTATTTATAAATTAGCTTGGACATCTTCTTTAGAACTTGCCTTGCGCCTCTAGAACAGCGCCACGGACGCTGATTTGGATTGCGTTCTGTTACGAAGTGTCTTTGCAACTAAGTAGCAAATAGACGTATGTCATAGCAAGCGAAATTTCATTTGCAGAATTTTCACCCTTTGTAGCAATCGTAAAATACATATTTACGTACCCAATGGGCCTAAAACCAAAACTGCTTCCCCGAAATTTTGCGTCACTAGGCAATAATGGGTCGTCGGGTCGCCAAGGGGCCATGCGGTGCGGAGCGAAGTCAGCATTAAATAACTGTCGCCAGTTGTTTAACGTGAGCGAGAAGTTCCGTTGATAGCTTAGTGAAGAATATGAAGTTTCGACTGGACCCAGCATCTCATCCGTCTCAGAAGAAAACTGCTATGTGAGAAACAATCGAGATCATAATCAAAATACATATATCTACATGATACTAAAAATCCCTGATCATGCTGAATGACTTATTGTTCGCTAAATATATTCAATTTTCATTGCTAAAAATTAGTAGCAAAAAATCTGAATTTAATATTTGTATCGTACAGATGTTAGGCAAGGAAAGAAGAACTAGCACCATTGTTATTTACTATACGTTATCGTAGGTCTTGGTAAAGGATAGCAACTGAAGCCGCGATCTTTTAAGAATGACCGAAAAGACCGACGTCTAGCTTTGTATGCATATATTCTAAACAGGAACGCAGGAAAATATAAAAAGAAGATATCTAAAACAATGATAAATTAACTAAAACATGCAACTACTCACTGAAGTTTTTTTACCATGCAAAGTCACATAGACTAAATCACAAAGAAATAGAAAAAAGCAAAATATCGATGGTAATAAATGTATCGATGCATCACACGCGTGTGATAGAATATCACATAGACCTGTTGATTGACAAGTCCGAAACTCAAATTGGCCACAGGATTGCTTGGTTCATCTCTCTCTGGTGCAGCTGGCATTTTGAGGACGAATCGCATCGCAGTAAGCAAAGTGTCGATAGATAATTTCGGCGTAGCTAAATAGTTCTCCATAAGCCGTCGGCCCTGTCTTCGTAGCGCTACGATGTCAGCATCTGAGTACGTCTTGAGAACGAGATGCAGTTCCGGAGCACGAGCTTTTAATAGGATGACAGCAGCCTTCTCCCATTCTATCTGTTGCGAAAACGGTAACTCCACATCGTTTCCTAATTCAGTGACAAAATAGATTACAAAAAATTTATCTACCTGCACAATCAATTACTAGGCCTAAAAGAACTGAATCTAATTAATATTTTCACCTTCTGCTATGGAATTTGGTTATGCTTATTTTATGAGTTGTAATTAGTGTTTATAGAATGCTTGATAAAATAAACTCTCCTATTATGTTATAAATCAGATCATGAACCTGTTCCAATTTTTCATGCACCTTTGACGAAACACAACTTCTCACAAACTAAAAATAACAGAGAACACAGCAAGCCCTTATCAAATAGTGTGTTGTTTTTAATAGTATGTAACAGTATACTATATGATGGACAGAATAAAACACCCCAGCAAAATTCAATATTTTTTCAAGACAGCTTTAGCCAGTGGTTAGGGTTACCATTACCCTTAAGAAGAAGCACTATTGCCAGGGAAACTTTACTCTTTTCAACTAAACACTTCTTTTTTGGTTTAGTACATGTAAAGGATACCCGTTACATCGTCGATCAAAATTTTATGTAATATAGGCAAATGTTTCTTATCCGGTAGATGCTGCTACACATAGCTATTGTTAGTTCTATAAAGCACCCACATTCCGAAATTCTATCGGCATAAAAATGGATCCGATTTGTTTAGCTTTTTGAAACAAAAACTATACGCACAGCTTAGACAAAATCAACGCAAACGAAGAGTTGTGACCGTATTAGAGATGCATGCCTATAAATCACTTCTTCGTCGCCTAAACCTCTTTTTTTTATCAAAGGCGAGCCGGGTTAAGTAAAGTAACAATGGACTTATGGGTTTAAATAACTGCTATTTATTATTTGAAAGAGAAGATGTATGTCTTTGCTCTACCCAGATTATGATTATTTTCTCATTAAATCAATGATTATATATACATCATTTGTAGGCTATGTATTTTATTAGGGCTTACCGAGTATAACCGGAATAGCTCCATGACGCATCACTTTGAGCAGTCGCTTCGTGAACAAGTCAGAAGCTCGATAAAAATCAGCCCTCGGCGCCATCACAAGAGCAAACGTTGCATCCGCTAGAGGTTCTCGTTCCGCTCTATCGTGAACGGAACACTCGACCCACTGTCCCACTAAGCCTTTTACGAAGCATGAAGATTAAACAAAAACAAATAATGACTTTATTAAATAATTATTCAATACATATAGAACAACTGCAAGATCCAAACAATTACAAAGGGTAGAACTGATCAGGAACTAAGATCAAGTTTGCGAGCTACAAAGAGTCCAATATGCATTTTATATATATTTTCCAATTCAGATACGTTAACCAAAAAAAAACAAACCCGCAAATATTTTACCACTGTGGAATCAATTACCCTGAACATAATTAAGCTCATTGTCGTCTATGCAGTTCGTCCGAATATGTAGCAAGTCGTCGCTATCACTAAACTGGCCTAACAAGCCTTGCACGTATTTGTCACTGAGTGAGCTTTTAGCAATTTCCAACGTTGTCTCCGTTTCTTCGGGCTCAATGTAGCTTCCACTGAAGCTTAGAAGATACTTTCGCCGCGCCGGTAAGATAGAAGGAAGACTCAGTCGAGGTTGTGATTGGTCCACCCATGTCTAAAATATTATTATCGCACATTATCACTACGAAACCTTGCAGTATTAAAATAATGTACTCATTCTGTTTTCGTCTAGAAATAGAGGGACTATATATAAGCTTCCCGAAAAGTTAAACGAAATTCTATGCAGGGTCATGTACGAAACTGTATCTTGGACAGGTGCATCCGTATGTGAATAAGATAAGTGACTAAGGGCTTCTGTAAAATTGAGTACTCGAAGCCATGATAGCTGTATACTATATTAGTTAAAAGGTGCATTGTTAAGGTTGATCTGTAGCATAATCCGACAAAGTTCTGGTGTAATCCATATTCCAATTGCTCACTCACTGGCATAACATAGTCGAACCCTGGCCGAAATGAGCCTGCTGGAAACGTTTGTCGAGCCACAATAGCCCTTCCGACGCGATCAACCGGCGCAAGATTGCAGCCACCGCCTTGATCTGGAGAAACCGTAGTGCAGTTGTCCAGAACTAGCAATAAATGATTTGCTCCATCGCCATTCCAATAGCGTAAAGTGGACACGTTTGCCATAGGTGAAGTTGTTGTCTGAGATTATCGGTCAGGACAAAATTATTTATAATAAATGAATTCATCGTACTATCCAATATGTTCTATAAAACTTTCTGCATCCTTTACTTTCTATCCAAATAATTACATTCAGATATTATAAATGATACGAGATCACAACTAAAAGAAGTTCGTAACTCCATATATTTCCACCAATCAACTGACCTTGTATGTCTAACCTGGCTTACCAATAGTTATAAAACAACCTGAACAATAAAAACATGATGTATAATCTAGTTAATAATAAATAAATAAACATCTCTTTGAAATAATCGATTGGTATGAAAGTTACAATCAGTTTTATTATTTTACCTTTTGCAGGAAAAAAAATAAATGTGTGCTTACCTGTCCCGTTGTTTGTCCAGCTTTAGTTACAGGAGTGAGAATAGCTTGTGAAGAGGTGACATGCAAGAACAGACAGGCAGTCCGTGGGTTGTCAGTCACATAGTGATTCAAATGTATCGCAGAAGAAAGAGCGTTAACCAAAGAAGGAGGAACACCTGGAAGGCGATGCGGGTCCAGAGGATAGGCGAAAACCTACCACAAACACACGGTCAAATATGAATCTATATACAGCCTAAAAGCTTTGCTCCGATCATCCGAACTCCGATCATGTCAAAAAGTGAATCATATGTTATCAAGCTTTATCAGCACATCCTACGGTGCATTCGAAGTAATTACTGTATATAACAATGAAAACAATTCCAATTTGAAAGAAATACCTGGAATGGATTTCTCAACGGGCATCTCGAGAGATCAAAGCACTGCTCCAAGGAACAGTCCTTAACGGTGTTAACAATCTTCCGCCTACGGGGCGTTGATACCACTTCCTCCGCCGGTATACTCAATGGCATTCGAACAAGAGCGGGCTTTGCCTTAGAGAGTTCTTCCAGTGTTCTGTTCATTAAGTAAGTGAGTGTAAAACAGTTGTCTATCTGGTCAACATCGAATACCCGCGAAACACAAATAATAGCTGGCTACGAAATTGTTGCGAAGTATTATGTGCTGATTGTTTATAGTAAGACGAGTTAAATAAACTCATCGCTAAATTTTAAAACAAAACAATAACCAATGTAAGCGTTCCCTCGATAGAACAGTGTCCCCATCATGAGGAAAATATGCCTTTCTTATTGAATGATATTGATATATTTTATAAAAGAAATCAGACCTCATGGCCTCGTTGAGTGAGAGCTTAACGCCGTTGAGCTCTCGCTTCTGGAGGACGATTTTTTCATTTCGGCTGTCCCATTCCTGTTGAAGCCGATCGAGCTCAAACCGGATGTTGGTTCGCTTTTTCTCCAAATCCCGCAACTCGATTCGTACTGCATAAAAAAATTAATAAAGCCATATGACCAGCAGTCACTAGTACGTAGCATAAACTGAAAACGGCATTCTCGAGAATCCCAGTTTCCAACCTGATTCAATACTGAACCTCATACAGATACATATTTGATCTAATTATCAGTCAGCGCCCTGTTCTATGTTCTAACATTCCATTTCTTGAGCCACTGAATTGAACACCCCGATCAATACGGTTGCTTACTCACCCGACAATCGAATCTTCTCATTTTCGGACAGCGCGCCCACTTCTTGAATTTCATTTGAGGAAAAAATACCTCGATCCAGATACGACAAGGCCACCAGTGGAAGAAACAAAGCCAGGGATATCAGTACAACTCCAGCCGCTAGCAGACGGCGCCAGTGAATCGTATGCCAGTATACCCGCATTGTTTTTGGCGATGCGTCAACGTCAGAGGCTATACGGGGTAACTTTCCTGTCGTTCTGGCAGCACTCGCTGGATCGAGCGCGATTTTTCTACAAGCACATATATGATTACTTGTATAATGTAAAAACGGGCACGCAGCTTCGATCGACTTTATAATTACATAATTGGCTATGGGTCTTAGGAGTATTTAAACAAGCAAAAAAGTAGAAAGACGTTTACAAAGAATCTATTAGATGAAAAAGAGAAAAATGATCAAGTATTCAGTTTATAAAGCGGTAAGATTTTACAACAAAGGATGCCATGCTTCTTATGGCATGCAACATAGTTATTTCATGAATGAAATATTTCTATATAAAATTGAAAGAAAAACAGGCAACACTTTATATAAGTATAGGCTTAACGAGATCATATCTTAACATTGCGTGTACACCTGTAACGCCCTTATAACGTAAGAGTGTTAGGTAGCATTTTTATTTTATAGAATTATATGAATTTTTAATGATAGGCTTAACGAGATCATATTTGAGCATTGCCTGCACGCCGGTAACGCGCTTATAACGTAAGAGTGTTAAGTAGCATTTTTATTTTAGAGAATTATATGAATTTTTAATAATAGGCGTGCACAGAAAGCAGGTTTACATCAGAGTTTAAAACGTATATAGCTGACGTGGCATACACGAGCGGCTGATTGCTGAAAACAACTCTAAATCCTTGCGGAATAGACCGTTTTTGAACCCTTTTTCCAATTAGGGTGACAAAGTTCTACAAACTTGTCTTTAAAGGCGGATGTAGCCAGTATAAAGGTATCAAAACATATGAAATGACGGCACGTGATCCCTGCTACATGAAACCTGTGACGAAATAATCAAACTTATGTATTATACTCTATACACATAATCTCTTTGTTTATCTCTAGCCGTGTCTAACGTATGCATGAACTTACGCTATATTTCATATAGCTTGATTTTTGAACCATAGATCAGGCTTGAAGGGGCCTTGAAAGAAAGTCGACCAGTCAAGAACGAATGTCGACAAATGAGGCAAAAGACCTTTTTCAGAAACGACAACTAACAATGCGTCTAGTTCAAGATGCCAGAGTTATATCGGAACGCTTTCTTGATGTTCTATTTCCTAACCGATTCAAAAAATTGCTAACAACATGCCAAACCAGTTACTCACCGAGATCTGAGCCATACTTCCATGCGAATTCTGGAAAGGCTACGCGAGTTATAGCATTGCACACAGCCCAGTTATTTCCGGGACAGGTTAGATTTCTATAAGGCAGAAATTGAGACAGTTATGTTATGCTGACAGATCTAAGAGCATTATAGACCATTTGAGATTTTTTTTGCAACGCAAATTTATTCTTATAAGATGTATTTTCGAAGTTTTCCGCATTGTTTTAGTTAACCTGTCGCCGCATGTAATATGAATGAAAAAATTGTAGTTTGGCCACTGTGGTTCCAATACAGTGCGAGTACGCTACATAAAAGAAGCCAGCAGGAAAAAATGCAAAACTATATTCACTTGTAAAACAGTCAAGTGTAATCTCGCAATGTTCATATCATAGAAAATACTGCTGTTCTACGAAATCTCAAATGTGTTTTCATTTTCGTCTTTAAATATCTTTCTTAACGAATAGTATTTTTCTTACTCAATGTTCCCAATGATACTGTTATGTTGATAGAACCATGATCCCTACAGTTGCAACATCATACCTACATAGGATATGCATTTCACATTTCGCCAGTTTAACTTGCTACTTGAATCTTCGACAGTTCGTTCTAACAGCAAAAACTTTGTAGAGTAGTGAACCGCATAATTCAATATCAACTTACCTGTCGGAAAAGCAAGATAAAATATTGATAAACGCACAAGTATAGAACTAGTTGACCTTATTCCTATGTATTTTTCAAACGAATTTTCGTCAAAGAAGCTCGCCAAGTTACTTGATTTTTTATGTTTCTTATCTATCGTTGGATTCTTTGGCTGTTCTACTCTGACGACTTGTATCATCTCGACATGTCTATGCTTACGATCATTTCGAGTGCCACAGAGAAGATCTGACGTCAGCTACGGGGAAGAGCAGCGTCTCTACACTTATAAGACGTTTCTTCAGTTTAACCTATTCTTTCATCCTTGCGCGGCTGGGTAAAAAACAAATACACACACAGTCACACATACAGAACAAAGATATATAAAAAAACAACACTAACCTAGAGACTGGTATCAATGTTGCATGGTGTTTATTTAGCCCACTCGCGCTGTTCCACCCCTCTACTTCATCATGAGTTGAGAGCACAAATGTCTCGCAACATAGAGAAAATCATTTTCAAAGGATGTTGTTCGCGTTTCCTTTCATCGCTGCGGTACTGCTAGTATCACTGTCCACAGTCTACACAGTTTATAGTTAGCGTAACTTTAACTTATTATAAAGAGATGCATAAGTGAATAGTTAGCTTAGAGTTGACGTTTTCCTTATATCAATAATATAGCAGAAGGACCATTAGCAGCGAGTCGCTCGCGGATTACGCGTACGATCGAACCGAGAGGAGCACAACAGAAACAGCAATGAGCTGGGAAAGGGCGGAAGGTTTCGCGCGCGGTTTCGCCTTTCATAGAGACTTCAAATAGAAGCTTTACAAGCTGGCACCGACACAAATTATTATATATGCTAGGGACGCATAAACGGCAGGTCGAACGGGGAACCGTTGTCAAACTTCTGTGAGAAATTAATACATTTTATAAGGACTGGAATTTAGTTCTCTTTCGTGCCGCCTCCAATAGTGCAGGCGCTTCTAGATCAAACCGACATTCTATGCTTGTCGACGACATGTGTAAAACAAAAGAATTTGAAAAAATATGCACAAATACCACCAAATTACCAGAAAATGACGATCAGCAAGAGACACTGCACTAAAAACTCACACTGTAGCAGCTGACAACGAGCATCATAATTGATCTTAGCATGACAAGAATAGGATAATAGGTATATGATAGTTTCTTATAGCGTTAAAAAGATAATTCGCATGTTTGCTTCCTGTCGCGTCCTAAAACCGTTCTGAAGGGAAAAAGGGTTTTTTGAGATTCGTTAGCAGTAGCATACGTAGCCATTTACAATGTGACGGATCGTTTTCAAAACCTTGTATTGATAAAAATTTTAAAAATGTAATCATTTAAGTAATTAAATCTTATACAAGAGAGCGCGCAGATGCCAAGAAAAATTTCTCCTGGGTAGCCTGAATTCAGTATACATTACTAGAGCTTGCAGAGCATCTATCAAGTAAGCCTTCCATATTTAACTAAATTTTAATAATATACTAATTTCGCCCATAAGACAGTGATTAACGGTTGCTTTTGAAACCAATATTTACACACATGATTGACTACCTGCATAATCGTTCAGACAGTGAGCTCAACACATCTGCGTCGAAGCAAAACATGGAACAGAAGAGTGATAGCCTTTCTTTTTTTTACAATACATGCTTTGGAGGAAAATACGGTGCAACTCAAATGGCTTCAACTAGATTCATCGATATTTTAGATTTGAGAGAGTATCATAAGGAAATTATTTTGTCTTTATAGGACACGTATCATCGATAGGTCATTTTCACTATGCGAAAAGTATTGGACGCATTTTGCATTTATCAAAATGTTTTTCAAGGAACGAACACTCTCAGTCTCTGTTGCCGCGTCAGGGACAGTAAAAGGTAATGTTTTATGCGCAATGAAAATCGTTTCGAAAGTGCCATCGGCCAATTCTCCCATGAAGGTCATCGCAATTCAGTTTACTCTAGTCTAATCCAGAGACTCGGTTACTGGCGCGTCGTCCTGTATTAGACACAATAGCATAATATCTATTTAACATCGATTCCATTTCGTACAATTACAATAATATACCAAACTTAAGTAAATATACAATCATACTTCGCGTTTGAGGCAGAAACCTCAAACGAATAAATATTTGATGTGATTTCATGACACTAGCCGCAAAAAGAAAACATCAATGACACGCAGCTTTACCAATCCTGTAGTTTCTCATTCGAGGTGACGCGATGAAGACTGCGAATCGCGTTACGATACAGCAGTGACTTCTGTTTGCTAGCTTCTGTTCGCCATCTTTGAGAAGAACGAAGAACCTGCGTTTGCCTTTGCGTCTTTGCAAAGGTTTTACATCTTGAAATTTCGGTAAACATCAGAGCTGCTGCATGAAAGCCTAATACCAACCACAAACGCGCTAACGTTATTTCGAATTGGGCAGATTTCACACTCTGAGCTTTTCTTAAATGACTGGAAATTAGCCTTCACAGTAGATAACTTTGATGCTATTATGAAAGCTTTTCTTTTTAATATCCGAATCAAACACCGCTGAAGACCACAGAAAAGGTTATATAGAAGTGTATATAATTCACTCCCCCGAGCAACGCGAGGCTTCGCTTTTGTCGTGCTATTCTATCTTCTGTTCTATACGTATCGTCTACATGTAGCTTATAAAATATGTTATCGGCTACATAGAAACTAATAGTAGAAATAAGTAAAACAACTGCTGTTCCCTTTTATTTAGTTTTTTCACTCTGTTTAGACATCATTTCATGTTTTATTTGCCAAAGCCATTCGTCACCAACTTCGTTTAGGCTTGAATGTACAGATGTACTTCATACAGTTATTTTCCTCATTGATTATTAGTGCTGATAAATGTCAAATTAAATGCTGAGCTTCAAATTATATGCTCGTCTATCGAATGAGACTTTGCTACTAACACTTGTAGCTTGATTCAATGTACACGTTCTCAGAATGGTCAATACGGCGCATATGATTAACTCTGTCCAATAAGTGCCAACCAGTCTTTGAGACATATGTCCACTAATTTTTCTCCAGTCTGCATAAATGTACGAAGTAACTATATGGATATTTTGTCAGTGCTTAATCAGGAGGCGAGCAAGCTGCTGAATAATGGAAGCACATACAATACTTCTTGTTACCTTAAATTTATTTGCCGACATAAATATGCCCCGGAATCAAATAATAATTCTTAGCCAAAAACTTATATAAAGGGAACTTAATTAAGTTGAGCGAAGTTCTATAATGAGCATTTTGATTTTAGTTCGCTTAAAAATTACCTCATCTCTATAAATATACGCTAGCTAACTGAATTTATTATAAATGCTAGTTGGCTATTCCTTGGAAATTGAAACAAAATCTCATTGCAGTTCTCTCAAATCTGCATTCATTTGAACAAATGATCTTCATTATTATAAATTTATATCAGCCGTTTACTCATCTATTATCACTGATTAGTACCGCTATTATGTGGCTGAAGAGTTACCTTAATGTAATAAGCTTTACTTTACGTGATGTTTCTTAATGTCTCTGTATTTAGCACTCTGTTTTATCAAAGAATATCTTCCGCTTATCTGTAGCGCTAAAGTTTCATCACCTGTGCGTGTAATAGATATATTATGATTTGACATCGTATGAACCGTATCGGCCACTATTTTTTCGATATAAGACCATTAGTATCGTGATGCTTTAAGGCTCGTCTATAGCTTGAAGTTTTTTTTCTTTGTTGTTCAACTTGCTTGGCGCCGTTAGTAAGATGGTAGAGAAAGTTTTATACCTCTGTGAAGCGAATCCCTTATTTTTGCTGAATTTCTCTTCTTACCCATTCTCCGCAACCCTTTAAAGTTTACTTTCTAGCCCGTCTCTCTTCATGGAGCAACACACATACATAGTTCATCTACGTCTGAACGCGCTGACTCCCACGCGAAGTTCTAATGATACGTACACAAACATATACACACATACCGGTATGTTTATACAGGATTAATTCTATATTAGGAGAAGATATTCGTTTCGCCTGTTTCTGTAAGCAGTAGAGCACCATATATGCTCCGCGTACAGCTAACGTTGGGCTGGACTAACGGGTGTTTCGAGCTCACGTGAGTGTGTCTCAAAAGTATACCAATTGAACAAAACACCAGTGATCAATACGCATATGTAGTAAATGATAAATTATACTAACGTATAAATACTACCATGACTCCAAAGCGATCGATGCTTGTATGTTGAAGACAAGTGGCCAGTTGGACAAGCCTATTGTTTAAGACTGAATTTTTTACGGCCAATCTAAAAATTTGTCGTATGGTACAAATACATTATGAATGCCATGATGATGTTAAGCGGAATAACATTACTTCACATATGGAAAAGTAATCCGAGATAAAAGTATGGAAAAAACACCAGAATAAATGAGTCGATACGTGATTCGAGTGTTACGTAGAGGACTTTCTTTAAGCATTGTTTCAGATCTAAATACTACAGTTAATAATTCAAGATTACTGGTAAAGGCAAGTTTTGATACCGAGTCGTTTCATAGCTTTGCTTCTAGATAATAATTTTATTCGGTTTGTCTATGAGAACTCCTAAAAGCAATTCCTGTTTTGGTTACTATTCTGGTCGATACAAGTAACTTACTAACTAAAAAGTCTTCTACAGTTCAAACTGTGGGTCTAAGCTAAGTGACATTTTTCTGTTTATTGCGATGCAGCAACATAATATTTCGTAAAAAATCATTCGGAAAAACGAAACATTTACCGTATTACTATTAATATATTATTAACTACTGCAAAGGTCGGACTGGCCATTATCCATAACCAAACTTCTATTAGATTTAGCCGAGGACAGTTCTTTATAGGGTAACAACAACATAAATTGCTCGAACTTTCTTATTTTAACATACATAAACATTTCATATACATATACTTCCGCTATTCAGCATCTTCCTTGACTATATTCTATTCAGTTTTTATTGCGGGAGGGCCAGTTAGTCATAATTGATTGTGTATAATGAACTCTTCGGTAAGATTTCACGTGCGCTCTTCATCAAGACAAAAATAGGTCACTATTACCATTAGTCTTAGTTTGTTTTTATTGACATTTTTCGAGCGCGTCGATTTTCGATCGTAGCAAACGAACGATGTCTTGACATTTGTTTACGCCCGGCTTTGCAGAACTCAAGTTTGGAGTTAGTTCAGGTTTATATATTTGTATAATGTCTGAGTAGTATACACACAAAAAATGTACATAAAGTCGTTCAGATCCGAAAAGAATATCAACGTTCGTCTAACCGTTTCGTTTGTTACCTAGTTAGGAACGAGTTACAGATAATGTGCCTCTATTCGTATAAGCGCGATTAATAACAGATGGAAAGATTTTGTTACGGCGAACTGTTCCTTCATTCGAGTTTCGAACGAAATGACTATATTTCATACAATTATCTAATAATGCAGCGAATCGTCTTAAAGTAGCGTTTTATTGCTCTCGCGCCAATGTTGTATAACTATGACTACACGCGCGGGTCATCTGAGACCGCGCGCGACATCTGTGTTGTCCGACGTCTAGTTGGGATCGAGTTGTTACTATCTGCTCAGGTGTCACTGTATTATATTAGAGTCGGTGACTGTAATACGAAAACAGTTAAAATGACGAATACAATACGCGCATGGTAGGTACCTAGAGTCGTCAAGGTCGGTCCTAATCGAATGACAATGCCCCAACTGACGCAACGCCGTCAAGAACCGGACCATTGTCATTCGTGCTGCTGTCGGCACTATCCTTCTCAGCATTGTTGTAGGTTATATACATTGTTACACGCTGTTGTTGCTGCTGCTGCTGGGGGCCCGATTGTTGTTGAGGGTTCTGTGATTGCAAGGGTTCAATGGTAGTTTGTTGCGGTAATAATTGCTGTTGACTGCACACGTGCATTTGCTGCTGTTGCCGGGTGAGTACGAGCTGTTGCTCGACTACGACCTGGCGTTCGTACACGTAACGGTGCTGGTGCGTCTGAGTCGAAGAAGGATGCTGGAAAATCTATTTAATCAGAGCCCCACACGAAAAGGTCTTAATGGTTACGGTTTCCACCATTTGGCAAAATATAGCTATTTAATTAATTAATTTTTAATTATATGGCTATATTAATTGCAATGCTACCAAATGAAGTCGAGATTGTTTTCGAGTACTAAGACGGGAAGCTGTTTCTACTGGTCTGTTCTCAAGTCTATGACATCGCGCCCAGTGATAGATCGGTGCCCATTATACCAGCTTACCTCGTCTGAAGTGGGAGCGACTGGTATTGAACCACCTAGCGCAGGAGCAGCAGCGTGCAGTACGGATCATTCAGACGATTCTTTTGAAGACAGATTCGGTGGAGGCAGGGGTGGTCCACCACCCCCTTGAGCCACGCTGTTTACCCCTGACAATGAAACAACTCCAGCCGGCGAAGCGGTCGCCGCCGTCGGCTGTTTGAGCTCTCGGATCTGCCGGATCACATAGTTCTTCTCCTCGTTAAACTGCTCAACTCCGGCGTCATTTTCATTCGCTAATTGGAAACGCGATAGGAAGTCTGCGAGCTTTTCTCGGTTACGTACCAAAATATCCAAAATTGGCTTTGGCTTATGTGGATTAGCGACAAAGACCTGCAAGTATTTGAGAACATCAACTGCCGTTTATCTAACGGGATTTCTGTTTTTGTGCGACAGGAACGATCACAACAATAATTATAGATACGAAGCTCGGTGACGCGGAAAATTAGGTCAGCGCTAGGCTTTGGCGCTAAAATAACTTCGAATTAATGGCTTGGTATTCAACCTTTCGCGTTATTACTAATTAGAATCTAAAACGAGTATATGCATGTATCTAACGTATCTAGTAATAGGAGGTGTAGAGGCAAGCAGGATAAAGGTTCCCAGTTTAATAATTTGATCATCAAAGCGTCAAAGACTTGGTCTATTCCAGTGGTGATTTTTTTAAAATTCAAACGAAATTAAAAACTATTTGTTCTCTAATTTGTACAATTGATATCTAGTGTACGTTTACCTTGAACACGTGGAACGCTTCGATCCGTATATTCCTTGATTTATCCTTAAGCATATTCATGATCAATTTCAAGTTGTCTGAACTTGAGATATACCTGAAAAACATATCGAAAGTTGATATTCACTGCCAAAGCAAAACATTCAGAAGAATGACAGGATTTTTTAATTCAAAAGGTTTAGTAGTGTGTATGTCAAATGACGATTATTGCCTAGATCTGTTGTTGCCGCTTAGATAGATTAAAAGAAAGAGACGCTGGGATGACGCCCGTTCCTTTGGTTTGCAGCTATTGCGCCAAATAAGATCAGATACCTTGACATGAAGTTGTAATTTGCTCTGTCCAGTAACAGGTCGCTGAGCAATTTCAGTGACTGTCGTCGTGTCACGTAATTTTCGCTTGTGACTAACGTTTGATAGTGAGTAATTACCTGAGGAATGATGTACACAAGTCGCTTTAAAGGTAGAATAGGTTTAAGGATTAGAACGGAACAAAAAGGCTAATTGGTTTACCCTAAGAAAAAGAATAAATACGTGAAAAGAATATATTGTGATCACTGTTGTTCTGAAAATTCTATAGCAAATTCTATAGATAATAGAATTCTATAGAAAAGTTCCGCGCTAGTTTAGAAAGGAAGTTCGTCCGCCTTACGCAGGCATCTTACCCGTTCGTAATTCAGATCGAGGAACTCTGCCACCAGCCGTTTGTGCCGAGTGAGCAGGTCTTTGAGCGTCGAGAATGAGTCCGTCGCGATGTCAAACGAAACAGATTCCACATACTTGAATAAATTATAATATTCATCCGAACATAGCACCAACTGAAATTACAAAATTTGTCCAAACCATTCAACTCATATCAATCAAGAAGAAACATCTTGTATTTTAAGGTAACATATTGTGGCAAGATATCCTGATTAACAATCCTAATTTCAGTCTCTTGCAGCTGAAACTTTCGTTCCACAAGGCCACATCACATAGTGTTTATTACACTGGCCTTGACGGTAAAAGTTCCTTAAAGAAAACGTCTAAAGGACGTTTGCGATTTGATAATAGTTCAGCCAATTACCCAAGTCTACCCTTCTTTTTAAAAAAAAAATTATTTTTTTCATTATATTCAGAAAAACTCGTTTGTAGTTAGTTAATATTATAGATCATTAAAAAAGTGAAGACAAATAATAATAATAGAACTATACGTGATTAACACTAGGTCACTAATACAAACCTTGGCTAGATCCTCATGCTTTATACATTCACGGAGCATTGCTCCGCAGTTGAGGGCCACGTCAGGCGTTTCATAACCACTGAGGAGTAAAAACAAGATTTGAGGTTTGAGGTAAAGGTATTCGACAGTCGGTAGTCGGGTCCCGATTTGACGATGAAGAATGCTATTGAAAATGTGAACCGCGTCTTTCCGGCCCTCGAAATCGATCTTCGAAAGGTTTTGCACCAGTAGCAAAAGCAAGTGTGAACTGTAGACCTCCTGACCAAGCTGAGACACCTATAGGAGATAAAAAAAAATGTTGTGACTCATCCATTAGCCCGAGGTTATTTTATAGGTAAGTGGATGAATTGATTGTTGCTTTTGTATAACCTGAAAAGCACTAAACTCAAATTCGGTTCCCTTATTAACTGAAAATGTATTCGGTTATGGCAGGTTTGACATGACGATACAATTCCTAAGCATCGCACAACAAATCACACATTAGAATCTGTTCTTGCTACGTTACCGATAACATGTCTGCCAAGCGCAGAATCTTGCCTGCCTGCCTGCCTACATGAATCTTTAATAAAGTTAATTTTTTCAAAATACATACACAATCACTATGAACGACTGCTTTACGAAGCCGATTTGGCCTAACTTTTACAACATACCCTTTGCTCAGAGCTGACCTATCGGTCATTTTAATGGTTTAGTCGGTTAACTTAATAATTAACAGAAAAAATTCTTTCGTTGTTATTAAATACTTTTGATTTAAAGGAAACACGTAAAGTTGAAGGTTGGAAACTATAGTCAGGATACTTTGAATAAATTAATTGTCATCGATAATTTCTAGTACAATTGCAAACAAGAAAAATAACCCTAAAAGACGACATCGTTCTCTTATTGTACCCCTTTTAAATGCTTTAAGTTTCATAAAAATAAACAGATTTCATTATGATTTGGTTGCTTCATATAGAATTTCGTATGTTCCTTTCAGTTCAAATTAACTGTTCGTACTATAAACTCAATCAGCGACCTCTCACTAAAGTTGTTAATGACGAATACGGTCCTAAAGCAAGGTATAGTTTCAAGGAAAGAGTATTCATATTTAGCCATCCGCCAAATCTGCAAGTATAAGTTACTTTAAGCTTAAATTTCTAATGAGAAGCAAGATCTTCGTGTTGTATCTTCTGTTCGGCTAATCAGAAGAACCAGTTAATACGTTAAAGCAAGACATATTTTCAGTGGATTAATGAGTTTTTTATTTCATCATCTTTTTTTTTCATCATATTACATCAAATTTTTATTATCTAAAAAAATAAAGAGAATTTAGCAAGTTTTCAATAAATAAACATATTTTTTCCTTTTACTTACAGACTGAACTCTGATTCGTTTTCAGAAAACAATTTAGTTACTGGAGAACCTTGAAGAGAAACAAATATCAAAGTTTTAGGATACAACTTCCAGCGATAGTTTGTCCCCTAAGTTTAGTAATAACAATATATTTCGTATATATTCACCTATGTTTTGTGTACCAACGGACATAAGTAGTTAACGATTTATTCTAGCCTAACTAACCTGCACCTCAGCGTGCGAATCACTTTGGTTCGCTCCTTGAAGTGCGTTCTTCATAACGGTAAGGTTCTTTGAAACATCCTCCTGAACCTGTAACCAAAATTTGAAGATAAATCTGCTTTTTAAAGATATGCATTAAAAAAGAAGGAAATATAGTTATACATAATCACACACAGAAGAAGATCTTATTGAGCATACCAACGTATTACTCTGATACCTATTAACAACTCTTACTTTGAAAAGATAGTTAAAATTTTTGATGAATTTGGTTATAAATGATCTCGTTTATTTTGTAATACAGTACGGCTTAAAAATATATACATAGCTTACGGCTCTAGTGTACTTTGTTTATGGTATTTTTAAAACTTTATTGAATTTTAAAAATTATCGAATTAGACATTTGTTGAATCAAAAAGATCTCACTAAAAAGATTTTGCATTTCATTAATTGTATGTTGCAAAGTAGCACATTATGTACACTTGGGCGTACTTCTATGCATGTTTATCTAGATACCTGTAAATCAACCTTTTTTTTTGTTTGCTCTTAGAACTGTACATTATTTTATGTAACTAACTGACCTGATTAGCAATTCAATGTACTTAGGTAGAAGCCCGTCGCCTAGCTCAGATCCATTTTCGATCACAGCTTTCCTTTGATCCACTTCTTGCTTCTTAAATCTTTTACATATCCCCAGATCATTTATGACATTTTCATGTACATGGCACGTGTCACATTAACTATTTTTTCTAGCTTCTTTGTGAAATAATGAAATATCAGCGAGTGTCTTTACAAATCCTAACGAACGGGCCGTAGGTGCCGTTTTGTACGGTTTGGGCATATGTTCTTATAGCTTATTGCATATTTTTTTTAAATCAAATAAATAAATAATAAAAATGCAAAGGTCTTTCAGAAATACTAGATGTTTATATTTAGGAGCTTGTGCATACGTCCAGCCTGACACAAACTCCTTCAGACCCAAAATTTTCAAAAGTAATCAAACGAATGACATGTATTTCGCCTTAATACTCACTAACAACCCTTACCTTCAGGGCTTTCGCTAACGTTGTAGGTAGCTGTTCCTGAAACCATAAATTAGTCACATGGCTCTAATTAGAAATTCACACAATTTTATAGACCTACATAACCACAAACGTAGCAACTCTCGCACACGGTGTAACTTTAAATTAACTTGATTGCGTGCTGCCATAAACAGTATAGTGACAATTTAAGGCAAGTAAACAACAAGGGCACATAAGTGGGCTTTATTTTATGAGGGAGCAATATTTGTTGTGGAAAACATTGCTGTGTTGATTTCTTCGTAAGCGGAAACTTGTTCTTGGTTTTACTGATGCCGACAGGCCCAGCGCAGTGACCCAGTCAGCTGCAGTAGATGCGGACTTCCAGGCTGATAGATCGTTCGAAACTACATTCCGCGACAATTATGGGCGATGTTCCTTATGATCATACGAGGCATGCAAAAATACGTACAGTTATGTCGATCGATTGGCTGTCAATAAAGGGGGTCTCTGGGTTCACTCATCTATGAAAAATAAGCGAATCGATAGCTTCGATCAGTACAGAATAGTACATCAATTTCTAGCAAGGTAAGGTATATTTGGAATAAATATTTTGTCCTTTGCATTTTTTTGTTTAGCATGTTTTGAACAATAAAGGCGCACCTTGGACACCAGCATCACTTCAGCAGCAGCAAACTTCAGTATGTTTGCTAAAATATTATTTCTTTTATATTGCTCGCTAATGTACTCCCACGTCATTCTTCTATGAAGTTTACTGAGTAAAAATCAAACATTAAGAGCAGCTGCTTATAACTATGACAAGTGGGCCAGTATTGTGTTGTGTCAGTATAATACCAACTCGTCCTGATCCCACGGTTTTCGTATGTAGGAGCTAATATCAATTCGTCCTATCTTTGAAAAGACAGTGAACGATAGCATAACGGATCAGCAACTAGCAGGTTCAATCACACATGGACGACAAACACGTTAACGATGTGCATCATATGCTTGATGTATGTGACCAAGATGGAATAGTCTTCCCCAAAATGGTGCCACCATATGACTACTGCTTAATGCAGACAGTTAAACAATCCGCTAACAGCATCGGAATGGTCTTTCGGCCCAATAAGAAAAGCCACTGAAATGAAGAAAAAGATATAGAAGAGTTGCGTTGGCGTACACTCAAATAGGTAGCGCTTCATAGGAGTATTTGGCTATGTGGAGAATATTATAATACGACCGCTTTCATAATCGTAGTACCAAGAAGAAATTATACCAAGTGTATAAGTGAATATATGAAAAGACACACACGGCGACGACAGACGTGAACCAGCACAAACCTATGATCCTGGTTATGTCCCAGTGCTATGGCTAGAACACATCTGCTTGTTCCCAATGTGAGTAGAATTATATTAATACTACAATAGTCAACGCATGATCGCAATATAGAGGAGCGTCTGACATAATATGGGAGACGTTTTGATTATGATGTTTGCTTGAGGGAGCGCCTAATATCGAGAGATTTTAACCACTTTTTTCGTTTTGGGTAAAACTCCATTTCTTAGTTAGTGAAACTGATGTTATGTTTACCTCAAAGATCTCCGCGTGACTTTTAAATAAAAGACTTAAGCTTATCTATTATATTTTAGTTTTGTCTCAGTACTGGCCAGGCTCGTTTCGTGTTCACATGAATAAAACCGCACATACGAAAAGCCGTCAGTTATAAACCGTACGCCTGTCAACAAGACTCTACCTAAGAAGTTTCTATAAACTTTACACAGGGCCAGGCTACGGCTAGTGGCTCAAAATGCGCCTGAGGTAATTACTTCAATGAATAGTGTCTCACTTTTCGGATATTTGCCTTGATGATTTTTTTGCAAGGGGGATTCTAAAGTCCTCTTTATACTTCACAAGGCGGGCCGAAGTTAGCGATCTCAAGCCCACCTGCGGAGCAGGAATAAAACTTTAGCGATTATGGGGCACTTTCCACAAGTGGCCGGCATGGCTTACTAAAGATGAACAAACCGTGTCCGGTCAGACAAGCGTAAAAGTGAAACATACATCATAGCAAGCTCCCTGAAATTTTTCACGTCGGACATTAAACTATTACCACAAATGAGGCTAACGAATATTTATAAATATATCTCCGTAATATAATACACCTTATGCAGTTAATCATTACATTTCTAACTGTTTTGACGTGTAAGCTTTTGCGGAAGATTTACATGCGTGTAAAACATCACTCAAAATATGGCTTGTGCATGTTTTTTAAAATGAATGAACTTTAACTATTTTATTAAATCGGAAAACTATTACGTTCTTCTGAACTCTAACATATCTTCGGAGTACTACACATAAATTATTAAGCAAAATCTTAAGGTAAAAAGTTAGGTTTGAAACATATGAGTGGGTATGTTGAAAATGCGTAGCGAATTCGACGACTTACTTTCTCAGCTTTTCTATCCACTTTGTCCAATGCATTGAGGGCGTCTTTCAGTGTTTTAACCACCTCAGCGGGGTTCTTGTTGTGTTTCCCGAACAATGGCATTGCGATTTGCACAGCTCAACCTCTGAAATGGAAGTTATATAGGATTGCTTATTTATATAATGGAAGTTCCTTTGAGTGTCGTTTATGTAGTAGATTTACATTTAAATGTTTCTCCATGCAGGAGTCGGATAGCTGCATTGATTATATGATGATGAATTCTACTCATCTAAATTATCCTCTATATCAAAAAAGGTTGTATTAACCGATCTATGCAAGCAAATGTGACTGACTCTTGTCCAGGTGTTCCTATAATAGAACTTACATGCAGTTTTGGTTGATACATTGAACTTGATTACCTCGATTAAAATCTTATTCTTATTAGATGAAGGTAGTCCAATACTGAATATATAATATCCATGTTGATTCGGTATGTCATATTGAATAGATCCAAGGCTCTGCAAGTGAAAAACTATAAGTCTGACGTGGTAACGATGGGATTGCTCTACACTTGTGACCCCTACGCCAAAAAAAGTAATGCTCTTCGACTGGAGTCATCATTTGGCAGGCTTCCATGTTTTTTTTTACTCAACTTAAGCGGACTCTTCAGCAGTCCCTTCGTAAAGCTCACATGGCGTACTTTGTAGTAATGAGTTTTCCATTCAAACATCAAGCAAACCCTAACGAAAATGCCAAATCAAGCACTTCTCTTAGCTGTGCATATCATTCTTGCGTATCATGGTCAGCTACCTGTATAATGAGAAATTCACCGCAAAATACTAAAGCGGAACCGATATAATTCCAGCATAAAAAGGAACTGTCGGCGGAACGCCTCTCGCAACTCTTCTAGGACACAGGACCACGTCTTGTTGTGAAATCCAATTCTGTATTTTTAGTCAGACAGAGTTGAACTGGGTTCAGACTATAGCTACTCGTAAATAATTCACTCGGAGGTTGACCCTAGCTTCAAACGTTCAGAGAACTTTACTACCAGTGACAAAACCAAATGCCTCCTCAAGATAAAGCGGCGTGACAAATAAGCAATATGGTTTGTGGGCTTGTATGTCCCATATGTGATGCAGTACCGTACAAAACAAAGTCGTATTGTGTAGGGGCGAAAGATGCCAACACTATGAAGATTCTTATGTGACTCAATCCGGAATAGAAGCGTGCTTGAATTTGTATTGCGTGTTATCAGCCACAAAAAGTAAAGCATTGGAAATTGCATGTAAAGCTACCTAAAGCAGACAAACAGCACCGGTGTGATTAGCTCCAAAATATATATAAAGCATACCAATAAAGTAACTGTGGGTTAACCTTGCTTATTAAGTACACTATGGGTACTGGGTGGACAGCTGAATCTTTGGTCTATGATTGTTTTTATCAATGCAATAACTCTCACTGCTTTTCGTATGTTTGAAATATACCAAAAATCCTGCTTAAGAACTGAAACGAATATAAGAGGTTTCTTTTCGTTGGGATTTGTCAAACACATTGCGACAGCTAAGAAGATTTCCATTCATGCATTTATAAGTTTATAGAAATACTTAAAAGAGAGCAATAAAAGTATAGCGTATAACAATAAATAGCATCTATTGTCGCGATAAACATATGGTACCGATAAACATAGAATGGCCAATCGTGATGCGAAAAGGTATCTATTCAGAGGTGAGCTGGTATCTTCATTAATTCGGCCCATTCAGAGTAAACCTTTTGTTGCATGATTTTTCACGATGCTCAAATCTCTCAATAACGCAGAACTGATAGAACACAAGTACCGATTTGTGTAGATTATTTAAAATGTCAAATCATCAACTGCAAAGCTAACCTGATCGCTGGACCGTTCCTATATATTCCCGCGCTACTCGTCATCTGCCTGCAGCCGTCTCGTACCGTATTTCCATATGATATTCAGGTACTTTGAACACTTCTGCAGCGCTTCTTGGCTAGATCTGCTTAGGTATTAGACAAAGCTAAATGTATTATTATAAGTATTTTGCTGAACACATATTCCATTGACTGTCACACCGACAGCACGTGCTGTCGCAAACAAAGGCTGAAATTATGAACTGGCTTACCATACACTGCCAATAATAACAACTAATAACGTCATAACGATAATCGGGTCTCGTCCTTAAATATTCTATAATGAAAGCCCTCGCAATTTGCCCTAAGAGAAAACAGCCATCAGCAGTTTTATAAAATACACCTTGGAGGCAGATTTTTATGCGACATTTGGCGGTGAAAAATCGCACATCCCTTGAGGATAAAAAGTTCTTAAAACAGCGAACGCTACTAGCAACACTATATATACATAGTGCACCACTCATTTTTCCATTTCTCATAAGTCTCCCCATGGTACTCAATGTACAATACAATGCACTTTTTGTAGTTCTATGCATTTCGTGTGACCAGAATAGTTTTAAACGATCTTTTTAGGATTTCCTATCATTGATGCATGCAGTCTAATAGTGATACCGTCCCAGAGGAGCTCATGGAAAATAAATCGGATTAAAACATCCTAGAAGATCTTGAGCGAATGCGTACAAACCCAGCAGGATGATAACTGCTCTGTATTTAGCCTCTGGAAACACTATCGCTCAAAGCAAATATAAGATTCCCGTAAGACGTACTAGCCATCATAAGCAGAGAGGCATATAATATTAAACGAATATCAAGCCATGTACTATATCCTGGACGGTGAATTTTCCACGAAGCATCAACAGTACCAGAGAGTGTCCTATGATTTGAGCCCTTGTCTTTACTGAAACGCTACTCGGTATAAATATTTGTCTTTCGGCTGTTTTATTATTGTCTTTGAGCTTTGGCCAAACCTGACCCACTGGTTCAGGAAATCATACAACGTACGCGTTATTATTCGTAGAATTGTCGTATTGGATGCGAGTCAAAAATCAACTTCGTTAATGTAATGGCTTAGGGCAAAACAGATAAAAATAATCATGCGTGCCAATAAACTGAAATATAAAAACGACAGGTTTCCCATTACGCGCACGATGAAGCAAGTAGAATAGGCCAAAGATACTAAGCCGTCTAAAAAAGTCATTCGCCTTTAAAGAAACAAATTTCCGAAGCCGAAAACGATTTTATGCACGATTAATGTTGTGTAATGCGACAACTCGTTAGAGCATAAAACATCTTCGAAGACAGAAAAGGTAATTCTGACAAGTAAAACTGTGCTATGATATAAGTTTTGAATAGAAACTAAACGTTGAACCTTTGTAATGCCGATTATAAAAAAAAAAAACAGCTTGTAACCTACTATCGAATGGCCTATGTACGCGCTACAGGTAATCGACGGAAATATTCGTTTCTTTATTTACTCCCACTAAGATCCATGCCTCGCACCTTAATTGCCCTTTCAGCATAGCAACGATGCATCAAATTTACTTCGTTAGTGCATATTATAGTAAAACAGGCACATTTTCTACTACTGACTCATGTTCGACTTTTCATAATATGGTTTTTATTTTTTAATCTATACGGTACAATGGACCGCACTCGCGCTTAAGTGAAAACTTTTATCTCGAAATTACTGTTTAATTCATACATAAACCCCAATAATAGAATCCTCCTGCATATTTCTCTAACTCCTCGTTTGCCTTAATGTCCGTTCGTGCACCAGTAAACAATAATTAGTCAGTAGGCTGCGCTCTACTACAAACCCACATACGAGTAAGGCCAATGCTCAATTAGACACTCGTTATCCGCTCGATCTTCGTTACTCTTTCCCGTTAAGCGTTGTTATTTCAGTAACGAGTAGTCATGGCGAAAATTTGGCGGTCAACAACGACAATTCATTACGCCTACAGAAATCATAGAATAGCCATCGAATGTACTTTTCTGCTATTTGCAATAGTATTACAAAGATGATACAACTTATAGACGGGTCAAATTTTGAGATAGCTCCGAAACGTCAATCTACAAGCGTTTTTTCGAACCACTGCTTTATGTCGAATGAAATACGTCTCGACGGCTTACTCGGCATAATTATTTCGGGTATTCAACACTGGATCAAGCAACATGAACGGCGGTCCCAGCAGCTGCAATATTTCTTATAGCCTTTAAAAAAGAAACCAAGCATTCCCATTTTGGCCCCACGTAAACAAATTAATAGAGAGATAGTCCCTTTCATGTGCTCGCATTATCTCCTTTGTAGCTTCTTTCCCACTATGGTCGCCTACCGCAGAAAAACTCAGGCGCAACAACATCATTCAATCTTACACAAGAGTCGATATTCATCCAATAGCGGCGTTCGCGCTCGCTCTGATTTTATCTTGCTTTCCCATATACCTATTCTATTTGTTAGTTCCCTAATCTAGCATCTCGCTCCTCATCTGCAAACTCGTCATTTCGGCAACTGCGTCGAACGAATCAGCAGAATGGAAGGGCTGACTACAATTATAGCAATTATCTAATGAGCCAATTTTAACTGTCATCTACGGTTTTCGAATCCCCATAGAAAGTATAAGGCGCACGGCTGGGGTGTGACGAGTGCTACATAAATTGGTTCAGAACAAACACAAGGACGAATTAGTTAAAACCCATTTAGAACTTACTGCGTATGCTGCGTTCCAAAACACCTGAAAATTTCGGTTTATTCGCGTAAAGTTATAACGCAATATTTAAATCTCGATAAATTAATGTTGTGATTTACTACCCGTTTACTAGTGAAAAAAAACATCCCCTAACTCATCATCCCCTTCTGTACTATTATTTTCCTTACCACATTTGTTGTCAAACGTTGTCACCACAGCTGTTTTATCAGTTCTGCTCTTGCTATTGTTAGCGACAAATCTGTAGGTTGTATGCAAGGCTTTCCTAAAACGGAACCGCATTAGAGGCCGCCTGCATTTGTCTATTGTCCGCATTTATGCGCACACGACTTATGAGGTCGATGAATAACCTTTCCGCCGCCCGTGCTGTCCAGTTAAATTCCCGCCGGTTTTACGAATAGGTCAGTTGTTACGACAATCAGACCACGACAATGTTCCTGTATCGTTGGATAACTCTGTTCAGCCGTACCGGTCACGCCGCTCACGATCCTCCACACTTAACCACTAACATTGTTCGGAAATAGCAATTTAACTGAAAAGTCACTCTTATCGATTTCGTTTCCTTTTCTATTCCGTTTTTATACTTTTTCCCTCACTTCGTGCTTAGAAGAACATGGTGGCACTAGTAATAACGTATTATGTACAAGGCAGTAGCCTATTTTCATCATCTTTACAAAGGAGCACCAGTACGAGCCTATACGCATCCGATGCACTTACTAAATTTAACTAGCGATCGAGAACGAAGCAAGCAACACGCCCGTTCACCCTTCGATGTATTTATGTATGTACGTGCTGCTGCTGATTAGCAGTCGCACCGCTAGTAACCGTCGCGTAAAGGTCCTACTAGCGAAGACCGTCGGCAACGAAAAGGAGCAACACGATGCAAAACGGCAATCAATACCCAGTCAATTTACCTGACCGCCAAATACAATGGCTTTATTCTCTTTGAGCAGCATCGTTAGCGTGAGATGTTGCCAAAGGACGTACAGCTGCTGTTTCTGCTTCTGCCACTTCTATTGCTTCCGAAAAAGCCACCGTTATCGTTCTAGCACTGCTCTGCGTCTTCCGATTTGACTAGCGACGACGAGGCGGAAGGCAGCAGCGGCCGCGACGAGCTCCAACTGTTCGAGGACGTTCAACTCCGTCTCGAAGTGACTTGGTCTTCTGCTCTGTTCAGCTTGACTCTGTTCCCTGAATGGCGACTATGGCCGCGACGGTGGCGGCAGTGAAGGAGGCTCATACAAAGGCGCCCCTAAGAGGCGACTGCTTGTCTGTTGGCCTCGCGTGCACTCGCTACTCTTTCCAGCCTCCTGCCTGGCCCTGGAACTGTGTTCCTTTCATTTCGTTTCGTTGAGATGGATGCTGAGTGTGCGCCAGGGGTAGCTGCGGTATTGGTGGGAAATATCTACCTATCCCACTACGTTCCTTCCTCCGTTTCCCTCAGTGTTCTTAGGTAGCGCGCAATGCCGCGACGCTGGCGCCGACTTGAATGTCGACGACCACCTCTTCGTCCCATTTTCCCCTCGTTGTCTACCCCGGCGCATTCTTGTTCGTCTGCTCGCTCCGTACATAGACACACAGCAAGGCGGCAGGGCTACATGCAACAATACGGGCAGAAGGCCACACACGCAGATACTCACGCCCAGCCACACACACTCTTAAAGTTGGCGCACTTCCGGGCCGCGCAGCACGCTCCAAGAAAACTGGCAGACCCACAGCCCCTCTCCTCCATTCACATACATATGATCCGCATAGATAATAACACAGCATTTGTGAAGACATGCCTCTCCGCATGAGCTATCCTTCTCTTTTTCCATTCGCTGTCTCTCTAACTAACCCTCTCTGTGTCTTGAACTCTGCGATTGAAGTCGTATCCATTCTTAGAGTAGAGATGATTTCGCGCCGCGGGCCTCACTCTTACCCTCCCTCCAGTTGCTTCCTCTCCACTGCACAAACATCGCGCGAAGAAGTGCCCCTTGTTGGTTGGGTGTAGGTTGACATCGGCGCTTATAGGAATCCAGAATCAGCCACTCAGCCGGACACACGTAAAGATGCATTCGTTCAAACAGTTTCGTACACAGACCTTAAAAACAGATATACGCTAAATACCTACTTCTAAAAGTAAATAAATCTCTGTCTTACAATTCAAACTGACCTTGTTAACATCGTCATGGAAATTGCATCATAGCCATCGAGATATAGCAAGTCAATAGTTGTAGTTTAGGTAAACTAAGGCTGAAACCTTCAGGTAATAAAACACTTCGTACTGATAAAACGAATGGATATATATGTTTATAGATACATATACGCGTCCTTAACGTGTTACACACAAATAAAGGCATCCGTAAAGTATGTACATATAGCACATTTGTGAACAAATGTATCCCTGTAAAGTGGAACAAGTAGGCATGTAAAAATACATTTTGTATGGTTCAATAACAAGTTTGACCCAATTGTAGTATCATAAGAATTTCGGCATTAACTTACAATGTGCTACTAACAATAGTTAGAGGGTACATATTCGCTCTAAAGAGTACGTCTTGTTCGCCAAGCTTGTAATTTAATACTACATCCAATAGTGGGTAAGGTGCTCACTCTTCAAACGAAAGAACCGGTCTGAACAATCGAAACGAACGAATCTCCACTTTTCAATAAAAAAAATGTTACAACAAAAGTGAAGTAACCGAAATACTTTAATCACATATTAAATAAAGCATAACCTATAAAAAAGATATCCAAGAAATGAAATATAGTGTTTAAAAGACGTCGAGTATATAAATGTAGCTTCGTAGGGAACGAAGTACTACAAAAATGCTTCTGTCCTTCCTTTGCTTGCTCACGTCTTTCGAATAATTCGGACGCGTTCTTTTTTGCTTTTTTGTTTATGCTAAGGTAATCTACGCTTGGTTCTGTCGGCGCGTACGACGTATAGGCTTGTATGCCCTTTAAAAATTAAATTTGTAAAAACAGTGTAAAAATTAGTTTGATACGACTAAGGAAAGGTTATCTCCAATGAGGAACGATTTAGCTGCTAGGTCTCCTGTGGCTGGCTGATACAGGCGTATGAGTTTAAATTGAAGAACACTTTTATTTACTTTTGCGAAAAATGTCTAAATGCTCATATAACACAGTAAAACATATATGTGTCCATATACAAGCCGTTTAATAGGTAATAGGTAATTAGGTAAAGTATACTAAACCTTTTGTTACGTTACTTGTAATAGGCTAACATGTGTCAGCTAAATCAGTCGAACCTCTTATACACCTGATGCCTCCAGTATCGTGTCGACATACAGCAGCAGCGTGCAGTCACATGATTCAAATATGGCGCGCATGTCTTTAGAGTTTCTGTAGGCTATTTTGGCCCCAAAACAAAAACAGTGTGATACTTTCATGGTGATTGTAGACTACCCATAAGGAGCACGAAATGCCTGCAGATGCCTCCATAATGTGCACAACAGGTCCCTGTAAATTGTGGCTTGATACATTCTTAGGATTGTAGTACTAACAATGTGTAGAAAGCAAGCGATATAGCCACCTGGTAAGGAGGTAAGGATCTAATGCGAGCTTCTTGGCAAAAACATTGGGGGCTATTACTTTCTACCCATAAGTGGAACGACATATTTAAACTTCGAACAGATCTGTTGCATAGAATTTTTTTTTATGAACACCTTATTTCCGCACCAAAGTTTTATCGTTGGACTTGAATCAGTTGTGAAAAAACTGGTCAGTGATAGGAATTTTGATTAATTATAAATGCAAAGTATTAATATACAAGTGCGGAAAAACGTATTATTCTTGCTTAGCTTGCAAATGGAACATTATATGACCAAGTTCAGAATATATTTTCCAGTCTTTTTAATCGCACGACAGTCATTTTAAATCTAACAGTTAGTTGTAAACTATTTCTTTTAAATAAACAAGTTTTACTTTAAGTTTGTTTTATGTTAACTGTTAGCTTATAATGGAACTTGAGATATTTTAAAAAATGTAGGACACTTGTATTTTGATATCTAAAATTATTGCATTTATTATATATCAAATGAGATTGATAATAATTGCTGTTGTTAAAAAAACGGTAGAAAGGTAAGTAATGATAATGTGTATATCTTCTTCTCTACTTCTATTCTATGTTGACTAACAGATGAACCTCTTACTTCCGTCGGAGGTGGCCCGATTAGTGCTGGGGTATCTCAATTCGACAAAATGCACGGGAACTCGAACGAAGTTCCTGGAAGAGTGTCCACATCTTCGTGAATACGTCTTTCTGTTGGAAAATGGACAGGAGTATCCGACAACGATCTTCGGCCGGAATCTGATCCATTACCTTAACATCGGATACCAGTACACTCAGTATTTATGTGTGTAAATTGTTATTATTATTATTCTATTTTACACAAATGCAAAGGGTCTGTGCATATCACATCTCAGGGTTTGAATTAGTAATTTTTATCTTCGTTCAGTTAGAGACTTTTTACCCGGATTATTATTTGACTGCCGTACTGGGATTTGCAGTATTAGTATTGCTAATGATATTATATTAAAATTATAATAGCCATTAAAAAGAACTCCAAGTAATGTAATATTTATTAATGATATATGTTATTGTATCGTATCCCGAATGACTTTACTGTAGAGCCTAGGCAGTTAAATGTATTGTGTCTTGCCAATAGTGATGACCGAGTTCGCGTTATGAAGGCCCACTATAATTCTGTTATCTTGTACCCTTTGTTTTTACTGCATCCCAAAGCCGCTTGTGGAGATTCTTTGAAATATCCGTTTGGTACGTACTTTTCGGCATACCAGAATCGTCCAACTGGTGTTCCCTTTGGAGAACCCTCAGGACGAGAAAGTCCTGCGCAGCAGGGTACTTCTGTACGAAATGGTATGTCTTTTGTTTATGAAGTGAGCAAAATATAGCTCACTACTTTTCATCTACTCAGTCTTTGCCGTAATAAATGGACGAATGTATACAACTAAATCTTAATATAACCACTTCATTCTTTTTATCGTATCCAATTTTGTTGGCTTCGTGGAAAATTTTTGTTCTGCACGTTGCATCACAAACCAATTTTGTACAAGCACTCTTTTCGAACTTTAACAAGAGCATAGATACAATTCGGCTTTTTGATATGTAATATGGCAAAACCACATTGACTTTCTTGAGCTAGCATTTATGTTTGGAAATACAAACGTCTGGCTGATGTGTTCAATTTAAAGGATCTCCGTTAACATCACCACGTCAGCCCTTGGCAGCCGACCGTACGCCTCGAGGCGGCGGCTGGCCAGGGGCTTCACCCGCGGAGCGGGATCGCCGTTCACCTGCGGACAGCATCATCGATGTAACGACAGTCACCGAACCTCCATCATCGGAGCCACAGCTTCCATCGGGTACAATGCAGTCAATCGCATCATCCGGAATTGTGGCACCGAGTCGACCTGTTAGTGAAGCAAGTATACAGACGGAGGATTTGCCCCCTGTTACGAGGAAGCAGGCGCAGGCCTCTAACGAGTTAACAACTAACCATCAACATCACCAACCTGAGCAGTCAACACAGCAATCGCGGCAAATTTGCGTGGTGGGGAGCCCGGCCATCGCGGTGGAGTCTGCCTCGAATGTTTGTTTTACGCCTCCGCCAAATGATCTACAAAATCTATCACGATACCAGCCATCAGTAAATACACCTGCAGGTGTCAAAATGCCTTCTAATTGCTCGTTGAACACATCCACGCCGTCAACCGGAACTCAGTTTACAACAGTAACGGTCACAACGGAAACTAATGAATCGGAATCGCACTTAATACCGAGGACTGTATCCTCGGCACCGCAGGATAAAGTGACAACGGCTCTCTCGACGGGTGTGTTGTTCTCTATCGACCACCCTCGAAAAGGAATGAACAAAACTCAGTTTAGCTACAGCCATAAGTGGATGCAGATGTTAAGAACTTATTTGAAAGTACTCGAAAATTATATGTTGCATTTGCCGTGCACCTCATTGTCATAAGATCCACTCTTGTCTGTTGACTTATTTTACATGGTACTTCGCTCGTCTGCTGTTTATTTGTATAATACAACGCATACTAACTACCTTTATGATTTCATTTAACTCAGTACCGTTGGCGAGCTTCCTGTCTGCGGTTTCTTCAAAACCTGACCCGCTATCCCCACCCGGAAATGATGGAAATGATAACCTTGAGACGTCCATTGGATTCCAGCCTCAGATATCCTTAGCTTCTTTAGCCGCTTCACCGAAGCGAAAAACAGTCGCGCCTAGACGACGTCCAGTTGCGCCACCTATCGAATTGTCAATAGCACCGCCTTCTCCGCCCAAGGACTCTACGGGAAGTACGACACGACGAATGTTTGATGAGTTTGTTCAAAACCAGTTAGCCGAAAAATTAGCCGAGAGTATTAACGAGGCCGCAATAGGCCTTACGGCTGGCTGCGATAGCCAGGGTCAACTCCTATCGGGAAGCTCAGCAAACGTAATAGGTCGTCCTTCTGGTACAGGAAGATCGTTCAGGCCGTTCGCTTTACATGAAAATAGTCAGTGTTCTAATTCAAGTGCCCTTCAAAACGATCTCCTGGATTTAGCAATTTGTAAGTTAAATAAATTGGTTTGTATTATCAGTCATATGTAATAATCACCGCTAATCGGTTTTATTATGGTAAAAAAATCATTGTTAATTTATTGTCATTTATGTATCACGATTTCAGCTTTTGGCCCACAGACAGTAAAATTCGAGTTTTGTTTACTGGTTGAACAAGTCAGGCCGTGTTCCTGTAGCAGCAACTGCTAGAACAGTTAGAATAGCTACTTCTCATTTTTTTCCGCACACGGCGAGTTTTTCGTGAAATATCTGTCAAGTTCGTTGTTCAAGTTAGCCAATGTACATGTCTGTGCTTTCATTTCTTGACATGTGTGGATTTTTTAATACAATGGTTACTTACGTTTTTGTTCATACAATTCCCGGTATTAAGTTTACCTTCATAATAATAATATGATAATTATCATAAGAATAATGTTCATGGGTTCTGTCGTCCAGCTAAAGCTTTGGCTGATCCCGTTGTGGAGGAGTTGGCTCAGTATATGGCCTTAAAAACAACGTCTGGCGTTGACTTGGACACCCCTAACGGAACTCCTCTCAAAGGTGCAGCACTACGAACCCCATTCAAACAAATAGCGGAGGAAGTCGCTAGTGAATCGATCGTCATCGACGACACGTCGGCGCTAGAGGAACCTCCAATACCAATGAGATCTTTTGAAAAGGTGACTATGTGCTGTATATTTGCTTTGAATCTATTTAGAACAGAACACACGGTTGACTGTTATCGGTTTTGCCAGCAGTTGAAAATGAATTTAAATCAACTTCTCGTATGCATTAAAGTCGTTTTTATATGAGAACCTATAAATTGTCATATTTCTGTGATACTTTCTTGCACTGACGACAATTCAAAATCGTTATATCGGAAGTCTATCATTTACCTTGTGTAAAGTAGCCAAGTCGAACAAAAAGGACTGTGGTGCGTAACACGAAATATAAATCCGTGTATCCTCTAGATACAATCTGCACTGAGTAATAATAATAATAAATGTTATGTCTGTGTAATTAGCAAAAGCCTAGGCAAAAGTCAAATTAATTTCAACGTTGGGTGCGCGCTAGCTCTCACGCGAAATAATGCCAGTAAGTGATAATGTAAAAATTAATTCAGCAAATGTCTCATGATGATTGCAGTTACCAGTTTTAGGATCTACCATCGCCGACAATACTTTAAACCTAGCGCAAGATTCACGGGAAGTCGTTCTGCAGCCCGGTCAATGTGTCCAACTTCCGGCGGGTTTTATCAGTGTGACAACAAGTGGAACCCTTACGTCATTAATGCAACAGTCCACTGTTAACCCAGGACAATCTGGCGCTTCTATACCTACCACAAAAGTTGTTTCACCTGTCGTCTCCCAATCCCTATTCACCCCCATGGTTGGACCCTCAGACCCGACGAAAATTTTAATTGATTCGTCATCGGCAAAGGCCACACTGCCAGCACCTCCAGTTCTGCAGAGTGCTCCAAGAAAACCTTCCCCGAAGATATCAACGTCGGAGTCAGCAACGTTGTCTGCCTTTGACGATCGAACACAGTCCGCATGTGATCAACATCCAACAGAGCCAAGCGCTTCACCACAAGCGTCTGTAGCTAGTAAAGCCTTTACAGCGCCATCTCATAGCACCAGGACCGTGACGACTAGCTCTTTCCCAGCGACTAGCAACAGTTCTCTTCAGCCAAAGAAAGCTAGCACCTTGGGAAGCCATATTCGTGCACTCGATTTTGACGGTTTGGCAGCGTGTGCCGCGCGCTACCCAAACCTCTATAAAAATGTTAATATTTATGGTAAGAGACGCCATTTCAATCTGTCACCCCTATCTTGTGCACATGTTGTGTTTACGTCAGACAAGACCACAGTCAGTGCCCATTTGTGCTTCTAGCAATTTCAAGTGCTGATTTTAGCAGTAAAAACGTTTTCAGTCACACCTTACAAATCTTAGTCATCTTTTGCTCATCAGTTCAGTCTGCTTATTTTCTTTTTTATTTAACAGGGTATAGAAGTCAAATCGTTATTTAAGTCATATCTTATGTGGGGCCCGTTGTCATTGCAGAATCAACCCCGGTTAGTCCACCCAGGCCGAACCACCGTCCTGGTCGTCCACGGAAACGGAAATCGCCAAATCCTTTATGCAGAGCTCCTAAAATGGCAAGACGTGCCGCGACGAAAAAATCGAAAGAGACAGATGCTTCTAACGAGCCAAAACATATAGATAGTACGGAGAACGCTGCCTCTGCTCCGGTATCAAGTGCCCCGGTTACGCTATCCGTTTTTAATATCCCTACGGCAATCGTCAGTATTCCTGATGATGTTAGGCCCTCAAGTAGAAGTTCACCTTCAAACGGACCGGATTCTGTTAATTTGTCAGTGCAAAATGACGCCCGTCAGTCTCACACATTGCCAGAGAAACCAAAAAGGCGTCAAGCTATTATGGTGGATGTTGCACCTATACAGCGGAGAACTGTTCCTGTAAGAATATCGTCATCCCGAGCTAAACCACGACGAGGAAATCGTATGTCGAAGGATAACACCGATAATGATGTTGGGATTGAGACTATTGATAATGAATCAACGAATACATCAAATGCGAAGTTTCGCATACCTATGACGCCAAAAAAATTCGCAGCTTCTAACAATAATAGCAGTGGCAATCGATTATCGCTGCCTTTGACCTCCATTAAGGGCAGAATCTCAATCGGGAAGATGCAGGAGTTGCAAGAGGAGGCTCGACGAGCAGCAAAGGCCACTGACACAAAGAAGCCGTCAGTCGTTTTAAGACACATAGCGCCAAAGGGGGATTTGTCTGGAGCACCAATTCACACCCAAAATAACAAATCGGTAATATTTTCTACAACGCATTTGCCCCCTCTTGCACCAAAGATCAGTCCAACAAACGAAAAGAAAAACCTTGGGCAGCTAACGCAACCCATTACAGCAAGTGCAGGCCCAAACCAACAGAAAAGCTTAGAAGCAACACAACTGAAGGCCGTTGCAACTTCACAAGGCACGGAAATAGCAGAGAACGGTCCGGTGGTACCGCTTCTAGTCAAACTACCCGCATCACAGCAAACGGCACCCAGAACGAACATTGCGCCATTCAACCTAGATATTTCCGCACTGCTTGACCTTGTGCATAAATCGAATGCGTCGGACAGCAAAACAACTGTCCAGCCAAAAATATAGGATTGAATTGTATGTATGTATATGTACCGGATATTAAATGCGGCAGGATTCATAGTACTCATCATAGCTTGTAGCAACTAGCAGGAATTAAATTATTATTTAATATTGACTAAATGGAATGATATGAATTGTATTTGTATATATTTATATAAATATTTATATATAACGGATGAAAAGCTGTCACCTAAAGCGTTGCTGGAGCACGACATTGCAAGTATGGTGTTGATGCATCTAAATTTAGATGCGGGTAAACAAAGAAGCACTTTGCAAAATATCAAGGTGCGACTTATATATATATATTGAAAATGCATCTGATCTGAGTATGTACATATGTCTGAAAAATGGCGTATCAGCTAACTAGAAGTAGTTGAGCTTACTCAATTAATACTAAAAAAAATTGACAAAGCTGTAAATATTCAAGCTATTATCAGAAACTTGTATGTTAACTTGTATATAATTACATAATAACTGAAACTGTTCTATGCAAATTTAGAGAATAGATGTGGATTCTGTATTTAATTATAATATTGAGTCTCTTCTCTCGTTATTTTCTGTATTCTGCGCATATCATAAAGTCAAATGTCTCTAGAATATACGATGAAGCGTAACATGCGTAAATGGTAAAACAGATATAAATATAAGATCGTTTTGCCCTCTGCTACAGCTTAAAAGTCTAGGCGCCAAGCTCTAACGCATGTCCATTCATAAGTTTGTGTTAGGATCTGTAGCGTACGTAAATAGACCTCTTGCCCGATATCCGTACACATATATATGGAAGCTATTATTTTACATTTAGCACCGTCAAAGCTTTGTGTTTTTACAAATTGTTGTTACGTGTTAGCAGTATAGCTTTATTCTATTACCTGTTTTGTTTGAGCTAGGTTTTACGGGATACCTAGATTCAGAGTTTCACCTTACACCCACCTGACTAGGTTAGGGGAGACCTTCTATTGCGATAAAATGCAAAATGGTGTCATACAGAGAAGAGTCTTGAGACATTGTTTTGCAAATCTCGTTTCTTTATCTTAATGAACCACTGTTTTATCCTAGTTCTAGTTTAATCTAATAGTCAAGCTTTGCATCTTGTATGCAAATGCTAAAAAAGAAAACGAATGAGGAAAAACAAACAAAAACAAAGAAGAAAGCGCTTGTTATTGTTAAGTTGGACGAAAAATCAATTTTTTGAAAATACGCATTAAAAACAATTTGAACATTTTAGACTACTATCTAAACATATCCATCTCTGAATTCTTATTTATGAGAATCGATTAAAATAATGTTAACCGTCCGTTGCTATTTTGATAGAATGCTTTATTCACTTCTTAAAAATTATAGGCAGGAATTATGCATGCGCCTTAAATGGGCCTATTGAATATGTACAGGCACGAGTAGTTTCAAAAATTGGAAGCGGCTCGGTTGACTCAAATTGCCGACTGATGTAGGCCAGCACAGTGCCTCATGTGTAGCATTCAAGTCGTATAATAACAGACGTTCTCGCAATGGCGCGGCCAAGATCTTGTATCACTATGATCCAAGTGACGACTAGCATTCTAATACGTGCAAATAGACTGGTAGGTGCTGGCACTAGCCACTCGTCATCAACTTTGCCTGAATTTACGATAGTGAGCGCACGTCTTAATATAAATGTCGTAACCGTCTGGCGTTTAGCATAAAGCAGAAAAACCAAACTTATAAAATAGGTTACTAGAGGCAGTATTATTGACATTTAGAACTTGTAGTTCTAGGCTGTTCTGTTCGAGCTAATAATTATTATTAATTTATAACATCTGACACTTGACAAAGTCTATTTTTGATTTAAAAAACGAGATGATCCATTATTTTTAAAAGAATATAAGTACGATTCAATTATTGTAAGTCGTTTTCCTTCACAGAGTATATATTTGCAATTCGTGATTATATGTGGCTAAATATTAGTTTTTCGCGAAGTCTTTAATGTAACATTTAATGTTCTTGCATACTGACGCGCACTAAGAGCTAACTAAAGCTCTGCAATCATGATTCCAGTCAAGAGTCGTCATGCTGCAATGCATGTACAATGACAAGCAAATATTAGTATCTATCTGTAGTTAACTAATTATAGCGGCTTATTATTCAAGTACATTTCTGTCATATATAAATATGCCTTTATACATTTGACAATAAATGCCTTCAGCGTATACTAGCGTATACAGCACTGAAAGGATGCGTATTATTGTACACCTGGTCGACAATTATAAGGTCCAATTTAAGCAAGTTACTTAAACCTATAGCAGCAGAACAGTAACTTGAATGTAGCTTACCATGGGTAAAAAAAATACAACCGTGTCAAAGTGGTACACGGAAAAATTGTCTCAAGTCAAGCTAGGGAAAGCAAACGACCAGTAACGTCGCTGTCTTCCTTTTCTGTGAGGTATGTTCTTCACCATGTGTTTTCAACGAAGACAAACCTTAGTTGTCAAATAAGTAGCAATCTTATGTTTTTCATGTTTCAAACAAATCTTTTCCAGTTTTCTTTAAATTCGATTATGAACAAGCAAAGCATATTAAAGGCGGCAGAAGAAGGCCTCTTCTGGGGAAGATTCTACGCAGCTAATATAGTATACTGTGCGTGCTCTAAAATATCATGTATATATTCGAAAAAGCGTGTTCTGTTTTAAGCTAAACAGCCTTGTGTGTGGCTGTTAAATCAGTGGTTGGCATCTATTGAAAAGCACTCCATTGCGTCCTTTAATCTTCGTCTTGTCGAAAATGGAAAACGCGGGGTCCATCATAACCGAAGTACCGATTCACTTCTTCCATGGTTTTTAGCAGTGTGATGGGCACATTGTCATCTCGCCTCTGGTATAGCATTTCGCCTTCGAAGTCCACAAGGCCTTTCTTGCGTGCGCGGAGAAGACTGCCCACTAGCTTATCGGAGATTACAGTGTAGAGCTGTAAATACAAAGGACAAGCGCACCAAATACAATATTTGGGTAGGTTAATGAATGTACAATGTTATAGTTCTTTATATATATATTTCATTATTTTATTTTGAAACGCCTCCACTTATTACATAAACGAAACACCATGCTACCATGACGCCGCGAACGCATCTGGAATTGTCCAGGTTAGCTTTTGAACGATGAAATAACTTACGCCAATTTTCAACTTATCAGAAAAATAATTATGTTCATCATTTTCTTTTAATGTATTCTTCACACGAAGATAATATTTCAAGATGGCTCCATATTGATAGATTAATTTCGCTGGCCTGCTCAGTTTTATTGCAGTTCATTCTTGTTGAATCGTTTTTCTTTAGACCCTGCCCTAGGTAATCTGCTGTAGATCAATCACTGGTCCACATATTAATCGTATGCCAAGTGATGAACCTTATTCAATGACATTGCCAACGAAAAGATTCATGGATGGGGAAATTTTTGATGTCCTTTGCAACCACTTAACTAACTACAGGCCGACTATAATTTAGGTCGATTGCGCTCATAAGCACTTTTGGGTCACACTTGTTGACCTTCCGAGACAGGCAAGAACAAACGGTAATGAACACACACAATCCAATGCACCGCTTCAGCGTTTTGGTATACGCACGAAGTCGCGACAAACGTTGCGCGGATCCCGCGGAGTTCTTCAAATGTTATGGGTCATGTGACAGAGAGGTACTATACAAACGATTTGGTAGTATCATGCAACCTCACAACATCACGCTGTCAAGATTCCTCCTGCCGATATGACAGCGACGTCCGAACAGATCGGACCAACTAAAAGGCCGTGCTAGATAACAGTAAACACCATCAAGATATTGACTGTTCCAACGAAACTGCTTTGTTAGTCATTCCCGATTGATAAAGGCTTTACAAACAATATTTTATGAAATCAAACTATTCATGTAAGGGTCATAGATATTTGCCGATTTTGTACTATCTCTTTAGTTTTCATAACAAGCTTGTGTCGAGATTTATCAAAGCTCTGTGCATTGGATTCTTGTTAGTTTTATCGTCTTTCAACTTTTGTATCTAGCTCAACAAAACTTAAGGTTCTTTATGTGGCCATAACAGTCAAAACGATGAGTTGATATCTTGGGAAAACCTCGAATATTCCCTTTGAACACGTTCATACCGTAACCTTCTCTTATACTTAGCGAAAACCCAGAATAATGTCTAGCTACTCAGTAAAATAGTGAAAAATGTAAGAGACTTTTTGCTTATGTGTTCAGGGCATTGTCATTGCGCAATTGATTAATAATATTTAATTTATATTATATATTGTACAATTTAATAATCGTAATGCAAGCGTGCCGCGAGGATCTATGATTATTAATAGAAATCATCACAAGTAGACACGTTTTGAATCGTATACTTTGCTATTAAAATCATATAACTTTTCTTAAATACAAAAGATATAATAAACTACCATGTAAGTCAATGTTCATAATTCTAATATTCCAGTTTTGAGTAAAAAATCTTTCTTTTAAGCAAGTTGATTGTCAAAATAAATGTTGACAGAAGCCGTAGATCGAACATGCTCTCAATAAAACGTTTTAGAAGTTCCCATGCGTTTTGTGTGTGATTTGTGTCTAGCTTTCGGGACGACCACCGGCATTGACAGGTTGTTACGACCTGTTGCAGGTCTCGTGCATAATACAGCAAATGAATTGCTTAGGACAGAAGTGTCGACATGGATCAGTGCTCTGCCGTAATTCACATGCTGTGCTAGACACCTCCCAAAGTGACGGTACGCGCTATACCACATTGAACGTCTGAGCCAATTCTAGAGCCTACTGTCACAGTCGAACTGTGCCACATATGCGTGTAAGGGGTGCGACGCGACAAGTACTTTGTTAACACTGCAGGTCCCGTTGTTTCGAATCGTTTTATTCTTTCGGCTTTTCTATAGAAGTGTGAATATATGTACAAATGATGCCTAATAATGTATCGTATTAAGGATACTGATTAAGGATATAAATTTTCTATGATTTTTTATGAGAGATAAACCGCTAAAATGGTGGTTTGGCTCATCAGTGAAACATGTTGACAACAGAACTAATACAGATACACACACGCCTAGAGTTGTTGCTTGGTTGTTAACGCTTAAGGATGACAAGTCTTAGGGTGGCCGTATTTGGGTTTGTTCACTGATGTGAAGTTTTCGAATCAATACAATAAGTATGATTAGATTGTTATGCAGAACCAGCACGCATTTTATCTTATAGGTGCGGTTAAAAAAGGGGTGTTTCAGTCAAAACGCTCGCCTGAAAAAAATACCTGTTAGGAATCAATGCATCGTTTAGCCAAGCTTCATTAAGGAAATGCACGCTGGATTTATTTGTTGTTGATCAATAATATGCTTTTTTGTAAGAAGTGAAACTTTTTAACGCCAGTAGCTCCATCGTAGGCAATCCTGTCTGTGATTCAGTAAAAACCAGATCTTGACGTGACACGAGTGCGTAATGTTATTATCTACTATAGTTAAAGCGTTTTCCACTGCTTGATGAACTGTGATATCTGCCACTCTAGTACAGTTAATTTTTAGAAACTATTCGAGCTAAACCACCTTTCATAACAAAATATAGTACCAACATGGCTCGTTGGTCTAGGGGTATGATTCTCGCTTTGGGTGCGAGAGGTCCCGGGTTCAAATCCCGGACGAGCCCTAGAAGTTTTACGTTTTCAGAGGTCGCAAATTGCAACGTTTTACATTTTCTCGTACGCCGATTCAATTGTGCTTTTCTCAGACGTTGACAAACCCCAATATTTTGCAAATAGTCCCTATTCTTCCATTTATTCTTATTGTCTTATCATTCATAAAATCATCATGATCTACGTTGCCCCGCGTACTTCAGTTCCAAATAGCAAAGTAGCTAAGATTTTGCGTTGATTCGTGTTATTGTATCTGTGTTATTTATACATTGCTCAGCAGAAGTAAAAAAGAGGAGAGTCATCTTCACCTCTATAATCCAAATCAAGGAGCAAACGTTTATTATCAGAAATCTACCTAAAAGCAATATCGATCTTTCCGTACAACCTCCGAATCTCATAATTAGGTTCTTTCACCGGGTGCAAAAAATATAAGGTCTCCGTCTCCTACAAGTTCGTATATACTAGACGAATGAATCACTCAATGGGCTTCAGCCGACTGGGTAAAGTAAACGTAGTCGCACCTGCGATTTTTTGTTGATGTTTACGTGCGTTTGATTTATTCTAATTTTAATAGATAATACGAATTATCTTATGCTTACAACGTGGGGTTATTCGCATTTTCTGTATCATGGACAAGTAAAGATGTTTCTTTTTCGTGTGACACTAGAATTTTCATTAACTGCTTCATGAGTTCATGAAGGTGACTCAAAATTATATCTCTATCTATGTTTATGTTCCATAACGTTATCATAACAGAAATCAACGGACAGCCAAATAGTTGTCGACGACGTCAAATCGGTGCATTATAGCCATGTTAAAATAACAAATATCTTGTACCAAATGAGATATTAATATGCGCGTCTGTGAATCAAATGGTTCTGCAGCCCAATTCTAGTTCCCAGCTACCTTCAGCCCAGTTTGTTGCGGTGAATAAATAGGGCAATATAATTAAACAGGCAAAGTATATAACGTATATATACATAGGTAAAGTTTTTCAAAAATCCAAATTTTGCACTACAAATCTTTATTTTTATTTCTCATCCCAAATAATACAATTAAGAAAAACAAAAGTTTAAAAACAAAACGACATTAACATTTTACGGACAATAAATACATACAAACATTGAAAAGTACAATATAAAGCAAGTACGGATGGTTTATTTTGATCATTCGTTCGCTCATAATATTGCTGAGTCTACCTAGTTTTTCCTTACTGTACATATGTATGGTTAACCTTTAGTAATGATTTAGTATATTTTATTTTCTGTTTATTTACATCACAAATGTGATGAATACCCAGCTTCATTTCTTGCAGCGCAACTTATAATATTATCTTCATTGTATACTTTGCACATTTACAGAAATTACCATTATCCCCAACTTTCATGAAAGAACCAATACATTTACACAGTATGGTGCAGGCGAATACTTATAAAGTCCAAAATACACGGGACATCTCGTATTTTCTGTCATCAGGCACACACACCGTGAAGATTAACTTTACTCATCTATCTATGAAGATTGGGGAAACTTTGAAACTAATAGAACTGAAAACAGTTTATTTAATGAAACTTTCCGCCTCGCTACGAAAAACTACAGGAAAACTAAGCATATTGTTCAAGTAGGAATGATATATTTCGTAAAATGAAACTAGTATTACTTTTAAGAGAACTGGAGATGTTAACTAGGTAAGAGTTTTACCCATTTCTCGCTCTCCGTTCATATATAGAAAATCTTTCTTCTCTAGATATATATATATATAAGCGGAATTTGCATGACCATATTTTTTTCGCGTTTTATCGCATCACTGATTAGTCCAGCAGGTGTGCCGGTAGCTCATTTTCGATGTGTCGCTTAACATGACCGAGCTTCATGCGGGGTCCAGTATAATTAAACATCTCGTTGATTTCATCCATACTCTTGACAAGCCTCACGATCACATGGTCGTCTCTACGCTGGAAGAGCATCTCGCCCTCGAAATCGATGAGGCCGCGTTTACGAGCGCGCAGCATTGTTCCTACCAGCTTATCGGAGATCACCGTCCACAGCTGAAATTGGCACAAAGACCACAGCATGGAGCGGGTTTAATTACAGACGCGAACTGTGACCAGTTGAACGAAACTCAATTTTTATGTGCGCCTAACAAATATATGTGCATACGGAACAATATATGCAGCTGGTTGGATTTAATTAGTTTACGGCTTCCGAGTTCCTCCGGGTTTATGCAAAGGTATATAGATACGAAATGTGTTTCATTGAAATGTATCGGATTAGGTCTTATTAGAAACAACAACTTGA